TGTAGTAATATATAAATTTTGTGTAGTGATATATTATTTATAATTAGAAAAAATAATGGTCAAACCTTATGCAATGCAACGTCTTTTGAAGGGAGTTTATGGCCCAAGTATATTGTGGCCCAAATAAGACATTGTAGAACGATCAAGTTTGAAGAATGGCCCCTGAAGAGCTAATCTTATGATTCATGCCACCAGATATTGAAGTTTTATATTTGTACTCCTCAATTGGATTGGTCAAAGGTTAATATAGCATTATACCAAATTGGTCAAAGGTCAATATAACGTTTTACCGAATTGGTCAAAGGTTAATATATATCTTTTGAATCATCAATAATACATAAGATATCATCGGAAAGCACTCTCCCAAATGATTTTTATTTTTTATTTTTTAAGAATAATGGATCCTTTGTGTTTGCTGACTCCAATCACATAAGAGTAATCTGATACATTGTTTTAGATAATCTACTAGATTACTTTTTATTTTGAACAAAAAATGGTTTTTGAAACCGACAAAAAAACCACCACATTATTGCAAAAAAAAAAAAAAAAAAAAAATTAAAGAAAAAACAAAAGATTGCAAAAAAGTAACAAAAAAAGAAAAAGAAAATTCAAAAAAAGTCAAAAAAAAAAAAAAAAAAAAAAAAAAAAAAAAAACTCAAGATTTGATTAAGGATAACACTCTTGTTACATCGTCAGTTTCGTGCAATCTCCGGCACGTTATCTCCTAAGTTCTTGTGGCAGCGAATCTATGGGTAGAAGAAGAGCAAGATCAGAAAGAGAGAATGAAAGATATATTAGAGTGAGAGGCGGAAGTGGGAGAGATAGAGGGAGAGAGTTTGAGAGAGAGAGAGAGAGGGAGGGAGGGGAGTTGCTAAGGTTTGAAGGGTATTTTAGTGATTTACCAAATAGTGAAAGAAAAAAGCCAGCGGGGTACAAATCAAAATACTGGCCTTGTTCACTTCGCTGATTCGAGTTTAAAATTTGAGTTTTTCTACAGTAAAAAGCTCTCACAAACAATCACATCTAACTTTTTTGCTACAATAAAAAGTTCTCACACAAAGTCACATATCAACTCGAATTCTAAACTCGAATCAGCGAAGTGAACGGGACGTAAGTAGGGGCATAAATCATATTCATGTCCACTTCCACTTGGGTGGCATGCCACGTATATTTCTCTTCCAAAAGTTGATCATTAAGATACATATTTACCTATACATCCAACTAACTACATATGGTAGATAAAAATCATGCATTGCTATGAATTTGGTTGATGACTTTTTAAACCTAAAAACATACCCAGGAATTTTTTAAAAAAAAAAGGAAATTTAAGGTAGTTGGGCTCATGAATTTGAGAATATTTGTAAGTCCAAATTAACCCCTGTCGCTCTCATTTAAGAGTAATGGTAACGGAATCTCAAAGAAAATTTTCTCTAAAAAGTGAAACTCTACAATGGCCCATTGAGCGTCATTTCTGAGATTTGCAAGGGTGTGTGCTGAAAATAAAAGCTGATTGAAGACTCTTCTGCAAAAGAAAAGCTGAAATTGGCCACATATAAATAAAGTCGGTTTCAGCCAAATAAAATAAAAGGGATCACTTTCGGCTGCCAAATGAATACTTTGGTTGTTCAGATTGGTCTGTGGCCTTACGAAAGTCTGTTCATCTTACCATAAATATTGTTTTCTATGAAAGCTACCAAAGATTGGTCCATTAGTCAGAATTTGTACAAAATCTCAGGCTTTTTTAGAGTTTAACTTAAATATAATTTTTAAATTAAATTTAAATTATAATTTAAGTTAAACTTGTAACTTGAGTTTGTATTTAGTTGTGTACATTTGAGTTATAGTTTGAGATAAAAATCTTTTTAAGTTTATATTTAAGTGAATTAAAACTTGAATTTGTATTTAGATAGTATTTTAATAAAAACTCAATGCTGATGAAAAATTTTAATAAAGTATATAGGTCGGGTTTTATTCGTCTTTTCGTTGTCAACGCATAGAAAAAAATCATTTCAATCAGAATTAAAACGAAAAAGTTATAACATTTTTAAGAATAGAAAAAATATTGTTCATTAATTTGAGTTCGAGTTTCTGAACTCGAGTTGAAGGAGAAACTTACTCGAGTTTTAGTCTTAAACTCGAGTTTGAACTCAAATTTAAATTTAAAAGAACATGAACTCAAATAAAATTATAACTCGAGTTACATTTTTTTAAGATTTTTACTAAAAAAAAAAAAAAAAAACAAACCCTCAGATTTTTATATATATTGATAAAAGGGATAAACATCGTCCAGCTTTGATCACGAGTATCACGATTCAATGTATTGGCAGAGAAAAATTAAATTTGAATTCCTCCTTTTCATCTAAAATTCCTACTTTCATGTACCTACACAAAATTCATATATTATAATCAGTCAAAACAATCCATATCATGGCCGACACGATAAGTTTCAAAATGTCTCCACAAGTGATCGAGTAACCCGACTAATTCCGTCAGGTCACAACATACTCGTTTAGTTTGTTAATTCGAGTTTTTAATTCGAATTGAGATGTGATGTTATGTGAGAGTTTTTTACCGTAATAAAAAAATTAAATGTGATTGTTTTAAGAATTTTTTATTGTAATAAAACTCAAATTCTAAACTCGAATCAACAAAAAAAACAAGATCTACATTTTTCATGTCCGATATATAGCTCCTCGATGATTAGCAGTTGGAAAAATTGATATATAAACTATCCGTAATGTATTTTTTTTTTTTTTTATGGTTCTCTTTTATTGACATTAAAAAGCAGTATTGTTCTTAATTGATTATCATGTATGAGTCATACCTTTCTGTGATAGTCTCATCATGCAGTCATACAGTTCATACACCACTGGTTTAGAATGTATAAATTGAACAACTAAAAAGAATTCATGAAAAATATAAATCCCTCATTTGAACAGATAATGACTTGTGTTGATGAAAAGAGAGAAAATAAATTGATATTGAGCTATTAGAAATATAGAGAGAGGAAATAAGTTGACATTGAGCTGTTAGAGAGAGAGAGAGAGAGAGAGAGAGTCCCTCATTTGAACAGATAATGACTTGTGTTGATGAAGAGAGGGAAAATAATTGACATGGAGCTGTTAGAGAGAGAGAGAGAGAGAGAGAGAGAGAGAGAGAGAGAGAGAGAGAGGGGCTAATGGCTTGGCTTGTGTGGTTGAGATCAAACCCGCAGTTAATCGCTCCCGTACAAATTAGCCGGAATTAAGTGTGTGAAAGGCTTAACTCAAACTATAGCTTGTCAGTACAATAATTATTGTCGCTTCTGGCTTTTGCTTTTCTTTTCTTTTTGGTTGGAAAAGGAAAAAAAGAAAAGAAAAAAAAAAAAAAAGATATTTATAGTCTGACTAAAATTCTTTAAAAATCAGTTTAATTTATTGATTTAAATTGAAATGTAAGTTTATGTAAATATTTTTTATTATAATAAAAAAATATATGTGATTATTTTTTAAAATTTTTTATTATAATAAATTTTAAATTTTAAATTTTAAATTTAAATTAGTGAAATAGATGGGACCAAATTTACTTTTAAAATATATCTTGTTGCTTTAAAAAGTGCAGTACATCGCACCTCGATTATATCGCTACGAATTAAGTAAGAATGGCTATATAAGTAAAAGTATTTGATTATTGTAAGCGCAAAATTCAATAGTAAGACCATAAAGTTACCTAGCCATTACCCTTTCTTTCGCCTTTTGGGGACCAACCATTAAGCATGAACCAAGAAAGAGGTCAGCTAACCTATTAATCCAAGTCAACCATTAACAACTTTTCTTCTAATTAAGTTAGTCACGCGGCTACGTAACCTTTACATACAGGCGGGCGCATATATATATATATTTATGTTTTTATATTTTATTATCCTTATTTTAAGAAATTATTTAATATATGTTGTGTACCACGTCATTTTAATAGTGTAATACACTCATTTAATAAATTTTTAATATTTAGTCTGGTCTATGTCAGCTCTAATTAACGATCTTTCTCTTTCCTAATAATGTGTCTTCATTGATTAATTTGAAAACTTCTTGAAAGAATTATTCAAATTGATTTAGAAAACTGATAACGCCTTCTAAAGGTGGTCGGACATGAAAAGGCATTAACAACTTTTTTATTTGGTAGAATGAATAAAAGAAAAAAAAAACCAATGAGTGGCATCTATTTTTATTAAGTACTATTTACTACTAAACGACTGTTATTGGGGGAAAAAATCCTTTTTCTTATAAGAAATGTTGGAAGTCGCAGAACTTGTAAAAACAATGGTGGAAAGTCTTTTGCTTGCCAAAAAAAAAAAATGCTGCATAGCATCATTTCTGTATTTAATTAAAAAATAAATGGTTTGACGTTATTTCTCTCAACAGATTATAAACAAAAAATATATATTAATATTAAGATCAATTAATTCGCATATTTAATTCCCAAAAATTAAAAAATGTCATCCAATATTTTTCTTAAAAAAGACTGTCAGTATCATTTTGAAAAAAAAAAAAGACGAATCACTCCATAACTCTTTGCATAAATATTAATAATTTATTAGATGGGTATCCAATCATGAAAATAACGTGATACACCGGGATGTACTAAATAATTCACCTTTATCATTCCATAAAAACTAGGTAGCAAATCTCAGGCTAAATAGCTAGTTGTGGCATTGAGATGAATAGAAGTAGTTGAGAGGTCGTTGAGAGTATTAAACATGATGTCTAGTCTATTGATCACGGACGAGAGCATTTACTAGTACTAGTGATTTTAGAGATATATATTCTTGGGAAAGAATGAGATAAAATTACAAATTTGATTGCATTCATGTTCATCACCTAATGTATACGTCCACCCCCTCTAGTTGACACTTGTTATTATTATATCTATATAAACATAGATAGATATATATATATATAACATCAATCTGCCCATAGATACATTATATATATACGTATAGATATATGCTCATTATTCCCTATTCAATTTTGTTTTCGAGAAGATTCAAAAAGAGAAGAAGGGTTAATTGGGAGTAGTGATAAGTTTTGGTTGGGAAGATCGTCGTCGTCGATCATCGATCATCATCATTGATCACCGATCATCATGGGGATATTCGCTTTGATGACAGGAAGGCCAGGGCCAAGTGGGTTTGGATCAGCCTCAACGGCTGAGCAAGTCACTGAAGGGATTGATGCCTCCAAACTGACCGCCCTTGTCACAGGTCAAACACCTTCACCATTATTTTCATCTTCTTTATCAAATATTTTCTTATATATATATATATATACACTTTCTGGTTGTCCCCTTCATTGTTATGCTTTTCTTGAAATTCTAGTACGTAAAGGGTCTTAATTAACTATTCTTGGATTTCTTGTTCTTTTTTTTTATTTTTATATTTTTTCAATTTTTGATGGAAATTCTCTCTCAAGATTTTTTTTTCTTTCTTTTTTTAGTATATCTTCTTCGTCCTTTGTTTTCTAAGATATCTGAGAACTTTGAATAAAAAATACATGATTTGTGATATTGTTGAAGATTTTTGTTCAATGTGGAAATCTACACAGAAGACCCGACAAGAGTACTAGATGTGTGCGTATGTTTAATGTTGCCTCTTGTTTATGCTCTTATTTGTCGGTTTGAAGATCTTTTTATTATTATTATTATTATTATTTAATTATTTTTAATGAAATAGAAAATCTGTAATATGGCCCACTCAAACTTGGTTTCAATTGTGTTCGGTTTTGGCCTAGCATTCCTTTCTCGTTTGTGTGAATACATTGATGGCATGTTTATTTATTAGGAGTGGAAAATAGAAATCAGGAATCCGAATCAACCTCATGTTTATTTATCCATTTTTATTTTGGAATGAAAGTGGAAATATGTGGGCCCCACACCAATTTGGGGTTGAGGAATGAGATTGGCACTCCCCTCACCCCCCACCGGATTGATACTCTCAATCTTAATAGTAAATATTAATTATGATTTTACTCTTAATTCTACTAACAAATTTGTGAATAGAAAAGTAAAAAGTAAAAAATTGATAAATGCTATAATTTACTTTCACGCCTCTCATATCTCTTTGCTCACTTCCTCTCATATTTTTTTTCTTTTATTTCTTTATATCAATGCAAATAATTAAATGAAATTAAGATAGCTTTTTTTTTCATGTTTATAATTTGATCCTTGTGTTATGCCTATTGTTTTTCATTTTTCAATCTATATCCTAAGCTGATATTTGTTTTCTATAATATGCAATGCAATGCTAAATCTAATTTTATATGTTGATAATGTAGAGTAACCATGTCTCAACTTTTAGCACGAAAGAAGAGAGTAATTAATAAAATCTAATTACTAATTAGTTATCCTAATATTAAGATAGTTAGCATAATATACAATTTCTTTTTTTTAAGTTCAACACACAAAAATCTACTAAAAGGGTAGGTAAGTAAATTTATAACAGTTTATTCTGATTCTGGGCGTAAGTAAACGCATGAATAGGATTGAGACTGATTCCGACTCCGATTCCTGAAACCTAAGTAAACAGCTTATTCTGACTCTGATTCATGTCTACTCCGAATCCTGTCCACTCCGATTCATGTCCACTCTGATTACGGATAAGTAAACATGCCATGAGAAAAAAAAGAATGTTATCTTATTGATATTCAAGAGTATTAATATCTAGCTACAAAATAATATATATTCCCTTTAAATTAATTTTTCTTTCCACTATTCTTTTTTTTGAGTAATTTACACAAATGGTCTCCAACCTCTTTAGTTAGTGACAATTTGATCTTTAATTTTTTTTAACAAAACGATCTCCAACCTCTTTAAAATGTAACAGTTTGATCATTTCCGTTAATTTTTTAACAGAATTAATCATGTGCAATGCATGTGATCTTATTAAAGATGATATTTTGATAAAATACCAAGGCAAGCTTTCTTTCTCTCTCTCATCTCTCACGCTCTCTCTCCTCTCATTTCTTTCGCTCTTCATCTTCTCTCTCACCGAACCAGTTACAGAAACTCACGCGTTTTCCCTAAAATTTCTCCTTTTTCTCATTGAATTACGCGTTGTTTATCATCTGGGCAGCGTTAAAAATTTAACGAAATTTGACAGAAATGACTAAACTGTCACCTTTTAAAGAGGTTAGGGGTGGTTTTGTCAGAAAAAAGATTAGAGACCAAACTTTTACTTACTAAAGAGGTTGAAGATTATTTGTGCAAATTACCTTTCTTTTTTATATTATTTTCAATTGTCATTGAATGATTTTTTGTTTTTTATTATTTCCATTGAAAATCTGTAAGGTCTAAATTAATTGTAAGTTATTGCAGGAGGGGCAAGCGGGATTGGATTGGAGACCTCAAGGGTTTTGGCTCTCCGCGGAGCGCATGTTATCGTTGCTGCAAGGAACACAGACGCTGCAAATGAAGCGAAACAACTCATTCTCAAAGACATCGCCAATGCTCGTGTCGACGTTCTAAAACTCGACTTGAGCTCAATCAAGTCTGTAAGAGCATTTGTTGATAGCTTCAATGCTCTTAATCTCCCCCTCAACCTCTTAATGTAATGAAGTAGTACACCTCACTATGCTCAATATTGCTTTATCATCTTCAATGTTTTTTTTTTTTTTTTTTTTTTATCGAAAATAACAAGGAAACTTGCTTAATTTTCAGAAACAATGCTGGGGTAATGTTTTGCCCCTTCAACCTTTCAGAAGATGGAATAGAGATGCAATTTGCAACTAATCATCTTGGTAAGTTTCTGTGAATCATTTGGTAACTCTTTTTTTTTTTTTTTTTTTTTTTTTTTTTTTTTTTTTTTTTTTTCCATTTCTGTCCTAATGATCTGGTTATAAATTTTGAGTACTGATAATATATACTTACTTAATTTACCAGGTCATTTTCTCTTAACAAACCTCCTCGTCGAAAAGATGAAGGAAACAGCAAGAACCACCGGCATCGAAGGAAGGATTGTGAATCTATCCTCAATAGCTCACCTCCACCCTTGTGAAGATGGAATTCAGTTTGATAAGATCAATGACCAGAATAGGTAATAATTGTAATGCTTCAACTGCTTCAAGTTTCGCTGAGTATTTGATGCAATGTGTCGATTCATGTTGCTCCCTTGCTTCTTCTAAGTTGCTTAATTAATTATTATGTGTTTGGATTTTGCCATTGAGTTTCAGTTACTCTGACAAGAGGGCATATGGACAATCCAAATTAGCAAACATATTACATGCCAACGAGTTATCACGTCGCCTACTGGTGATCTTTTCTTGGCTCAAATTTGTTTTCATCAGCCAAATGTTCTAGTTAACTGATTTGATCCCTTGGTTATAATGTGCCAATATGTTATTATGTTCTAGTTTTGGATTTTGATTAATGATAGTGAATATTCAGATTTCCTCCCTGTTGTTCTTTTTCTCTCACTAAATTTCTTCTGCTCATTCTCTCTCTCTCTCTCTCTCTAAGGAATAATTCAAACTCCAATTGAAATTGAGTGCAGGAAGAGGGTGTGAACATTACAGCCAATTCAGTCCATCCAGGACTTATAATGACACCTCTCATGAGGCACTCAGCACTTCTAATGAGTATGTTCTCTTTCTCATATACAAAACAAGGACCCAAAAAAAACAAAAAACAAATTTCTCTAATATATTTTATAGTTTCACTTGAGTTATATTATTTGACATACATCTTATTAAATATTACAGAAACTTTGAAGTTTTTCACCTGTCTCCTATGGAAGAATGTACCTCAGGTAAGTTAACATAGCAATAAAAATAAATAAAAAAAATAAAAAAAATAAAAAAAGAAAAACGAAACAACCTTATAAATAATCGGATTTGTACTCTTTAACTATTTTAATTTTTACTTTTTTTGTGCTCTTCTTTTTCAATAATTTTAGGGAGCAGCGACAACATGCTACGTGGCACTTCACCCAAGTCTGAAAGGTGTAACAGGAAAGTACTTTCTTGACTGCAATGAGATGACACCAAGCTCTTATGCAAGAAACCAAAAACTGGCCATGAAACTCTGGGACTTCAGCAACAAATTGGTTGATTCTGCTTCAACTTCTTGAGCTAGATTTATCACAATTATATATATATATATATATATATATATCATTATCACTACAAAAAGCCTAATATCATTATCATTATTGTTTCTTTATGATTGAAGTCTGAGTGTGAGATTGTGAGTAAAATCAATTACAACTCCTTTTTCCCCTTTTCTTACCTCTTCTTTGTCCTAATTTCATTTGGGGTCTCTTTTCTTTGCTGAGAAACGTAGTCCAATTTCCTTGTTCAAGCCGTTGTGGTGTGTATAATTGTATATAACCATATTGTATTCAATGGTGTTGAATCATTAATAATCAATACAAAGAGGAAATCTATTAGCACATATTTACTCTTCTTTTATAATTTTTGTACGGGAAGATTCAACCTCTAGACCTTAAAAATAGATATAACAATGTGTTAATAAGTCCGCAACCTCTAGACTAGACCTTCATATTAAAAAAAAAAAAAAAAAAAATCATATTTGAACTCAGTCTTCAATAAAAGTTGCACCAAATAGTGTATGATATATACTAGCTAAGGTATATACAAACAATAACATGCCAAGATCCAAAATGTTAAAGAATTGAAGAAATATCAATTCTAGACCTACTCTCAATGAGGCATATCATCCTCCCACAAGGCAAGGGCGCGGACCAAGAAGGCGGAGGCAGCCACAACAACCGCTGCGAAGACTGGCGGCACGATTAGATCAAGATTAGACTTTGCAAACCGGTGAGCCGGCAAGCACAGAATCTCGGCCGGTAGGTCTATAGGAACTCTTATAAACAAGTCAGGGTCGACGCAGGCGCGGGAGAAGGAGGACGATGAAATTGCCGAAACGAAGGAAACTTCAGGCCAGAAGGAGGCGAGAGCCACCGTCAGGGTGAGGAGCATCGTCCATGTGGTGGCGTAGATGAGAAGCGGCCACCGCGTGGATAAGTGCGCCAGGATGGATGAGAAAGGATGGAGAAGCTGCATTTTTGTGATTGAGAAGTAGATTGTTTCTGGAGAGATTGTATATATATGTGTGCGTGTGTGTAAGGTATAAAGTTGGAGTGGAAGGGAACCTAATCCCAACGACTTCCTGAAGTTAATAATATTTTCTTATCAATACTGACAAATTAATAATATTTTCTTTTTGTTGCAAACGCAGCTTTGGGGGTTGAGTTTTGACGGTAGACCAACTCCAACAAAAATTTTGATCTGTTATGGTTTGGATTGGCCTACAATCACATAATGAATGAATTAGAGGAAGAGATCTGGTGTGGCTTCACATTTCGTTACACTTTTTTTTTTGGCCTATTGAGACACGCCAAAGTGCATGGTCTCATAAAAACAATGTTGAGCTATTTGTGGGACATCAAAATCCTCTCACTCTGATTGGTCAACGAACCTTCACCAACTCATTTCTACAATTTCCCGATTTCTTTATCTTCTCTTCCCCTCCAAACAAATATATATACACACACACACACACACACACACACACATACACACACACATATATGAATTATCAAATCACAACCATCAGTATAATTGCATAACCACTACAGCTCCCTTCTATTGGTTATGACTTTCCTCCTCTTCTTTAATATAGCTGTAATATTTGTGGCACCACACCACCATTCCTATTATAAAATAGTCATTTGTAGTATAGCTTCAATTTTAATAATGTATAGTGCATCATGTGGATCTCATTAAAACCCTGCCTTATCTATTTACTGTTTGAAAAAACTTGTGCGTTATCAACCATTTATTAAGATTACTTGCAACTGTGACCACCCTATTCTTGTCTTCAACTACCCGCATCAACCAACTCAGTTACTACCCCCAGGCCACCATCGTATTTATTTGCACATATAAATACACACACATATAATACTATATTATAGTTCTAGTCAAGTTTAAGGGCATGTTTAGTTTGTTAATTCGAGTTGAGATGTGACTTTATGTGAAAGCTTTTTACTGTAATAAAAAAGTTGAATATGATTATTTCTGAGAACTTTTTACTGTAGCAAAATGTTAAGATCCTGATTGAATCTCACATTGCTAAAATATGGGGCTTAACATGTGGGTTTATAACCACTTGGACACCCTCTCCCTACAAATTAACTTTTGGAGATGAGTTCTACCTAAGAGTTATAAACAGGACCTAAAGTTATCAAGACTTTCTTCGTTCCTATCTTCAACTCTAAAGGTAATTTTATCTAAACCACTATGTACATCCATATAAATAGGCCGAATACCACTCATAAAAGCCTAGCCATTTATCTGTGCCATTTTAAGTTTAATTATGCTCATATTTTTCTATAAAAATGGTATTATGTTCACATACGAACTCTCTTAAAGCGGTATTCCTCTAATTCACCCTCTACATCTTTGTTATATAGACTGCATCAACTTTCTCCATTGTTGAAAAACATATTTCCTGAGCTATACGTCTTGTTTACTATTACATAACAGAAGATAAAAGCTCAGGAAGTTGGTTGATGGAGTTAACAGAACAGTTTACTGCCAACCGAAGTCCATAAAGCACAAAACAGCTAGCCTGTTAACATCCATGTGTCATGTAACATCAGAATTAGCGAGACATGCACCATAAAACACAAAACAGCTAGGCTGATTTCGCTTAGAAGTGGTAGAACAAATGAGCCAAAAGTACAAATGGAATACTTACAGGCAACTGCGACAATGCAACATCAGCTTACAGTGTTTTTTTGGAATTCTTATGTGAACAGCCACTCTTACATGCACCGGAAAACGCCTATCAGAAAAATAACCCTACTGAAATTCTTCTGAGAATTTCTGATTCTGCTTTCAAGTAGAAGAAAAAATGACAAGAACCGAGACTTGCAGGCAATACTGCACAATCAGCTTGTATGACGAGAACCAGATGTACAAGAGGAAGACTCACGCGCTGCAGCAACACTGCAATATCAGCTAATAGTTTTTTTTTTTTTTTTTTTTTTTTTTTTTTTCAAATTTTTTTTTTTTTTTTCCAAATTTGCTTTTGTGCTTAAGGCTTACAGACTTGCTGAGAAAAATGCCTTCTCCACCAGAAGAGTTAGAACAAGAAACCCACCATATGCGACAAGTATTGCAACAAGCATAATCAAAAGCATTGCCTGCAATGAGATGTACGGACTTAGAAAAAACAGAACTGCAATAGAAGCACTCTGCCACACCTTGAGCTGCGCGAACGCTCCTTCCTGTCCCCAAAATGCAACACTTTGTTATTAGAGCTTCAAGCCACGAAAGGTCAAAGCATTGAGTTGCAATAACAATATTATTTGTACATGAGCAATCTCAATTCTGGACTCTGGATATGTGGAATATTGGAAGGTCAAACAAAACATATGTTCATTTGTACGGGGTTACCGTGTCACTCTTGAAGAGTATCCCGAGTAAGGCATTAAGTTGTGTCATAAATATTCCATCACCAATGCCCAAAAGAGCTGCCATCAGGATCAGGTATAAAATGCCAAGTACTCCACTGGTTCCACTGCAGTATGACAAGGTAAAATATAACAAAGTTGAAAAAATAAATAAATTAATTAAAGCAACAAATATGTCAAAAAACGCACTATGTGAAACCATAAGAATTACGACACTGCCTGATTATAGTGATTAGTGGTTACCTGTAATTTAGGATAAGCCAGAGGAATATGATAGCCTGGATGAAAGCACCAACCGAAACTATCAAAGTGATGGACTTGAGACCAGAGGTCAGTCGACCAGCAGCCAGCGAACACTAAAAAATAGTTCCAATGATATTAAGATGCAACAATGCAACAGAGCAAAACTGCAGTAAATCATATTCATCTGAAAGCGTACTTCCTATTTACAAATTGTGAATTTCCAAAAGAAAGACTCCATTGTGCTCTGAAAATGTCCATCATTCACCATAATAAAGTAGGCTACAAGAGATTGTCTATTTCACTGATCTTCTGTGCCTAATTGTTTCATTTGTTTGTTAAAATACATATTATTAAATCAGTTTAGTTAGTTGTTTGACATTTTTTTAAGGACTTCTCCTACTCCATTTTTTTAAATCTTTTTTCCTTTTCAAAAAAAAAAAAAAAAAGGAAGTTATATGTTTCCTGTAACAAAAGTACAAAACATAAATAAACAACCAAATATAGATATGCTCAGCAGACGGATTACGTATAAATTAAAGGCAGCCAAAGTACTGATTCTGCAAATGTCAAAAAGTGCTTAATGCTGCATACATACTATTGCATCACACGCCCCATAAACTGCCATGGTACCACCAACACCAGACACACCCAGTGCAGGGGTTACAACATACTTAGTGAACTCAGACCTACAAATACGAAGACGTGTTCCTTGATTTAGAAAGGAATTTTAAAAAAATGAAATAGGAAAATACAAGTGCTGAACCATAGCAGTCTTCCTATAAGAGTAGTACACTGTGTGGCATAATCATGTACTTACCACACAAATGCTTGTTGTAGTCCTGAATATGCCATAAGAGGAATAACCAATATCATCCGTACATTTAACAAGGGAGTGATAACGGACTTTGACAGAGATATCACAGAAGCATATAAGGTGTTGGAAGAATATTGGGGGCCCGCCTCTCCTTTACTATCCCGTCTTTGTAGGAAGCACATAAGAATGATACCTAAGGTCGCACTGCAAAGAAATACGATAAATAATAAAGTAGTGCCGCTTGTACTTCCCTCCTGCAGTGACGTGAAAGAAATAGGAATTAATGACTACTGGGAAAATCCTTGAAAACAGCATAAAAGTACCCACAGATTTAGGTAAATGTTTAATCTGTGATTCTGTCAGTTAAGTGCCTAATCCTCTATATTTTAACTTAACTAATCAGTTCTGTCAAAGACGCCCAAGTTCTTTCACTCAAAAAAAAAAAAAGGAGTAAAATTAATTCAGTTTTAAGGTCTGCCTGCTACCGTACCTATTTAACTTGAGAAAAAGGAGACAAAACTATAGTTATGTTTTCAGTGGAACCTACTAGATAGAGGAGTAAAACTATATTTATGTTTACAGTGGAAGCTACTAGATAGAGGAGTAAACATCTCATGAATTTCCAATATAAACTGAATAGAAGTATTAAAATGAATAGAGAGAAGTGCAGAATCCAAAGCTAACGATACGAAGGCAGAATCAACGTACAGCTCCATCTCTAAGTAGGGCAAGTGAGATAAGATTTCCAACAAGCTGCAAAGAATGATGAAGTTATCACTTTGCAATACATAATGCACCAACAAACGAATCTTTTCTTAGAAAAAAAACAAACATCAAGATTTCTATTAAAATGGGTTCACCTGGTGTCCACCAAACATTCCCCAAAATACTCCATTGAAGTTACCAATAACCCTTCCTTCGTGCAAGTTGTAGTCACTTGCATGACTTCGGGCAGTAGAAGTTAGATACGTCCCCTGAATGTTCCAGTCTAGAGTAAGGAACAAATACTAAGAAAATAAAGCTTGAAAGGAAATATGAAAGATGGACTTGCACCTGGCCAACCCATATTATAGCAGCAGCAAAACCAAGATACAATGAAGCTGGAACCATTGTGTACCTACAAGGAAAACTCTTACATTCTTCCATACCAAAGTGCGGACAGAATATTGACAAATTTTTATTTTTGACCTCAGGACACAATTCCACGCAATGGTACAAAATATGGCTATATAAACATTAGATATTGGTTCAACCATGCGACAATCCATCAAATGACCGTACAAAGTACTTTATTATTATGTCCTACTTGTGCCCAACAATAAAACATAGAAAATCCACATCCATGTCTTCTCTTAAGATATTTAGCTGCTCTTTCACTTCTATATCAAACACCACATACCTACAGTTTCTTGATATAAACTGTAATTTCCACATAAAAACAGCAAGTGTTAACCTACAAATTTAAACACCTTATACCTGAAGGAGTTCATTCTAGCTCCTTAAAGAGGTCAACTATACATCAATTAATTTCGAAATGTAAGTCACCATGTTAGAGAAGATTATAAGCTGACAATTGTTGGGAACTTTCGATATTATCATACTATAAGCTTGCATCAGAGTTCAAATTAACAAAACAACCCACGCTTATGCTTATCAGTTATTCTATTCATTTTGCAATGAGCAAATATGCATAATAGAATAGGAAATTAAGAGAGCATATTTTTTAGCAACAGGTAGACTTCTTTAGTCGTGACTCATACTAGACAACTTTAGATTCTATAATTGAGTGACTTTACAATGAAAGATCTCTTTATTTGGTTGGCATGACATGTCAAGCTTCAAGTTCAATACAAGAAAATGATTTGCACCTAAAGAGCAAATCTAAGACTAAGGGCATGTTTACCTCATGATGTAGAGAATCAGAATTGGGGAAGCCAACCCCAAGTTAGCCCTGGTTTTGTTTCCCTTTGAATTGGAATAATCAATAAACCACAAAGTTTTAGTTTTAACCAATTTGATTTGGCATATGCATGAGAATATTTAAGTACTAAAGCTATTAGGATTGCTATTCCTAAACTTAGTTAATTCAAGAAAGGGAATTGGACTTCCTTACAGGCAAATAAACACCGAAAAAGAATCAATGTTTGTCTTTCTTTTTTAAAAAAAAAAAAAAAAAAAAAAAAAAAAAAATTATTTCCATTCCAACACCTTTTCCTTTTTCATTGCATTCCACTACAAGTTAGTAAACATGCCCCAAATGGAAAGTAGCATTCTAACGTACAAACATAAACAAAAACAAGAATCAATAACCACATTTATTCAGGATAAATTAATGGAGATTACCATGTTGCCTTCAAATTTGCAGCTATGAATAACCAATAACCAGTAGTCCCAAGAAGCAGGGCATTCTTGGAGCCCAGAAGCCGAACTACCCAAGAGGCCACCAGAGAGAAAAATGTGAATGACAAATACAAAATCCCCAATGAAGTTGTACCCAAAGCCTCCTCCTGATACAAAAAGTACGAATCCAAACTCTCAAAATTCAGTTTGAAACAGAATAAATCAATTAAACCCTAATCCAAAGATCAACCAAATCAGATAAAAAGAAAAGGTAGAGAAGAAATACGCACGGTGTTGAGAGTACTCTGCAAGTTCTGAGCAGCGCCATAAGCGAGAAAGATGAACAAGAATGCGAAGCTCAGAATGTAAACATCTCTTGTGTGATTGTTCTGGGATTGAATCGCAGAGTTATCGCCGACAACGAGAGGAGCTTCCTCGTCGCGAGTATCTACAGACTCCATGGCTTTAGAATTCTCAAACTCAAAGGGTTCGATCATAGAACATCCATAAATAAATCCTAGAAATGTGAGAGAGAGAATCCAAAAGAGAGAGGGGATGAGCAGGGCCGGCAAAGTACCTGAGGAGGTAGAAGACGAACGAAAGAGATTGGAATTTGGGATTAAAAAATGAATAAAATGTGTTTGGTAGCTGAGAAAGTGAAGGAAAGAGGAATACGAAGAAAGATTCTGAATTTTGAGTCTACTGTTTGGTAGGGAATGGATTGAAAGAATCTGGCGAAGAAGACGAGACAAGTTTGATGACAAGAGGAGGAGCAAATTTTTTTTTTTTTTTTTTTTTTTTTTTTAAATAAAGGGATCCTTGAGCAACTTCCAACTGCTTTTGACTCTTCATATTATTGTTATTCTTTTGCATTTGAATATTTAGGCCCCGTTCATTTTGTTAATTTGAGTTTAGAATTCGAGTTTTGTTACAGTAAAAAGCTCTCAGAAACAATCACATTTAACTTTTTTATTACAGTAAAAAGCTCTCACACAAAATCTCATATCAACTCGAATTACAAACTCAAATCAACGAAATGAACGAAAGGGATCCTTGAGCAACTTCCAACTGCTTTTGACTCTTCATATTATTGTTATTCTTTTGCATTTGAATATTTAGGCCCCGTTCATTTTGTTAATTTGAGTTTAGAATTCGAGTTTTGTTACAGTAAAAAGCTCTCAGAAACAATCACATTTAACTTTTTTATTACAGTAAAAAGCTCTCACACAAAATCTCATATCAACTCGAATTACAAACTCAAATCAACGAAATGAACGGATTATTTTTTAAATAAATCTCTTATCCCTCACTAGCGAGGGAGCACCCCTCCAGTTTCCCGTTTAAATTTTCGTTTAAACCTTCTCACGGAATGTTCAATGCTTAGGTTGGCCTTTTCTTTTCGTCCATGTGCTATGGTGACAAATGCTAATAGATATACTTGAAATTACATAATTGATGAGTTTTCAAGTTTTTATCTGTAATCACTTCTAAATATAAAAATTTAATTACGTAGCGTGATAAGAATTTAATTTCATTAATCATCATTAAATTTTTTATTAATTATTTAATTTATTACAACCGTCGAATTAATATTTTATGACGAAAATAATAATACTCAATAATGAATAAATATTAGAGTAACCATTAAAACTACATCAATTATATAATTACATAAAACTGAAAACTTTTTTCCTAGATTTATTTCGTCTAGTTATAGAAAAATCTTCATGTTGTCTCTCTTCAGTAGGGTTTCTTTCTCTCTCTCTCTCTCTTTTTTTTTTTTTTTTTTTTTTTTTTCGCGCTGCTCTCTTCTCACCTTTAGGATTGAAGTATAGTGTTGCCATTTGGTTGGCCACTAAACCCTCTACCCTAGAGACGGAGCTCTAGGTTGCAGGGTGAGGATCATGATGGTAGTGGCAACTTCATGGGTATAGAGAACAAATGAGAGAGTTTTTGGGCACCATGCTATGTGCGCAACTAAGTTCTCTAGTATTCCTACCATCTCAGGGATCTCACTCCGTCGGATGGGATCTTTGCTGATGCCGTGTTGATGTCTTCTTATAGTAGAGTCTCGTGGATCTTCTTCGGTGTGGTAGTAGTGCTTCCTAGATGTGGTATCACGTGGATCTTCGTTGGTGCCTATGGTGCTTCCCAGTGATGGAGTCACCCGGGTCTTCGCCAATAAGTCCTCTATGGTTATATTGGTCAACTTATCGCCTGTGATATTGTTCATGTGGCTCGAGACTTCTGTCTTGTTTTTAATTTTTATTAAGTAATAAAAGTGATGTTGATTTGCAATTCATATCAAAAGAAGTCGCCTCACCTTTCTATCCCGGTGGTTGGTCTAGTCTGGTTGGCTTGAATCCAACGTAACATTGAGAGTGACCTTAGCGTTTTGGGTTCTTTGGACTCGATGAACTGAGCTTATCCACAAAGTTGTTGTAGTTCTGGTGAAAGAGCCTTTATCGTGCTCAACCAAGCTGAATTTTCATGTTAGATCTCAGACTTATGTATTCGCCTATGTTATTCATATTCGGGCTACTTTGTGGTTATTCGTGTCAAGTTTAGCGTCTCTATCCTTTTCTTTTTTTCTTTTTTTTTTTTTTTTTTTGGAATAATATTTTCCCCTTCAAAGAAAGATGTTTTTCCTAAAGAAAAAAAAAAAATGCCGCGTGTCAAGTTTGTTTGTATGTCGTTTTAGTTAAGGGATTCTGAGGAAAATTGGAAGGCCGCCTACTCCAATAGGTCGTTGCTCACAATTAGTTAAGCTACAAAGTTTTATCCATTTTGATTCGGTTGTTGGATGTATCCTTTCAAAAATATATATCTAAGAAACTATATTAGAAGAAGATCATCCAAATGATTCGAATCATAATTAGATCTTGGGTTTCTCTTCTACTAGTTTTTTAAAAATTAAAAAAAAAATGCAAACAAACCCTATATTGGCAAGTTTGCTAATCTCTCAACCCTTAGAAAAGATAAAAGTTGGAACCATTTACAGAAATTGTTGCAGAGATATCACAAGAACTACAACGAGTGAAAACTGCAGTTCCAGTCAACAACGAGTGGATCGTCTTCTATTCATATCCTATTCTTTTTTAACACTTCAGATCATTCACATCAAAGAAATAAATAAAGAGTCTATATGGATTGTTCTACCCATTCAATTCAAGAGGAAAAAGGCTTCTCATTCTCAAAAAAAGAACTACAGCTTACAACGCAAATGGACACCAATAAAAGAAATTGAGATAAAAATGGGACGAAAATGTCTTATTAATACAGCGCTAATTTTACAAGACCCCAACCACCCCCATTATGCAACTCAACCATGCCCAATTTTCTACAAAAGCAGTATGCTTGGATCAAAATACAAACCTGTACCTGATTCCACTGTTTATGGGAAATTTAGTCACGCCAATGTGGGTTGTCTCTGCTTCTGTCGCGTAAAACATATAGTTACACGTTTTTTCCTTCTCGAAGAGCAATCCGGCTCAGAAAGAAATCGCAAAATCAAATAACCGAATCCTGCAAGCTGCATATTTATAGAATTTTCTATGCCATTTTACCTTTCTTTTTTTTTTTAACCAAGCAAATCTCTGAACAAATTCGGATTCTGACTTGATGGGTTAACCCCCATCTGCCTTACAATGGCATCCTTTTCCAAGGAATCTTTTGTGCTAGGACCCTTGCTGAATTGTGCGGGATATGCAGTACCCCTGCCTAGATCGGTCCCGGTAGCATTTGAGGATTCAGAAGTGACATTTACATTGAATCCCAGACTACTACTTTGCCCACTTAAAGCTGAATCTCCATACAATCCCATTAGATCTGGTGTTTTTGAGGCACCATCTGAACCATTATTCACAACTGATGTAACTGGGGCAGGATCAAGAAGCGATTCCAACTGCTTGAACGGATCAATGGATGGAGGGGCACTTACAGCAGCTGCTTCGCTCAAGTCGAGCAAATCGGGAGGTGCTTGATGATTTGTCCGGTCCGCAGCAATATCGGTGACTACAGTCGCCACTTTTTGCACCTGAGGCTTCTCGGCAACATGGCTGCTACTGCTTCTAGCCACCTTCTGGTTTGCAGTAGATGTCTTTCTTTCAGTTTTTGATGAGCCTCCAAATAATGAAGCGGCAAGCTTCTGCTTTTCTTTGGAAATTTCAACTTGAGGCTTTCTCGAATCATAAGTTTCACGGCTTTTTGAAGAAGCCACAGTGCTAGCAACATCTTGTGCGACCCCGTTTGTCTTCTGAGAGGAAGAAGTAGAAGTAGATGATGGAGAAGAAGAGTATGTTGGCCTACCCCATTTCTTTTGAACCCCATCAAGCCGTAGCTTAAGTTCTGATGGCCCTGCATCTAAAACAGACGATATTGTTGCTGCCTGGTAGGTCTCCCTAGGATACGATGGTTCAGGCACTGGAACAAGTTCTGTTGAAGAGGTAAGAGGAGCAACTCTTGATGGAACTGGTGGTTTTGGAAGCTCATACGCCTCAAATCTGAGACCATGGCTTGAAGCTTCATGTTGGTCTTGGCTTCTCAAGGTAATGACATTTAGCGCTCCAGAGCGCTCGCTCTCAGGAATGTAGGGCTGAGCACCTTTTTCTATTGACTGCTCGACATAATTGTTGAGGAATGAAAGGTCTTTATCAATCTGCAAAAAGGAATTAGAAATAATGCACATTACACTTCCAAAATTTCAACTTTTAGTATCAGTTTACACTTTACCCCCAAAGTTTCATTAGAAAAGGGCCCCCTTTCAGTTATGAGAAGACGAAAAGACCCATCTCCATATTTGAATGCTCTGATTACTAACTAAATAATGGCATGTACAAAATATGCAATTAAGTTGCACCTAAACTGACCGTGCAGCTTAAGATGAAAATGAGGCCTCTAAAAAGCAAACTAGCAAAATAGAGAACCATTTTTAACTTAACATTAAACAAGACACATGCTAAAGTTGATATTGCTAAGAAGAGTAAAGGAGAGAATTTTTCTATCTCTAAACAGAATTTTTGTTTGACACATTGCTAGCTGCTCCCAAGATTCGAGCTTGAGATCTCTTCCTTAATCCCACCCCATCCCTACCTACTGGGCTAGCACCAATTTGCCATCTCTAAACAGAAATGTTTTGAAATAATAAATTGAAAATAAATACTGGGAGATTTTTTGCAATAATGTATGACCTCAATGTCTTCACAACTTGCGTCTGGTGGCATGATAACTGCAACAGCATGAGCATCTAAGTCAATCACAACTTGCAGTTCATATGCACGTTGCTGCAAATCTGTTGAGTGGGAAGCTGATAGTTCTTCAACCAAAGATTGACACTGTAAAACAATAGATGCATGAGTTAGTAATCCGTGGTTTTCTTCTGTGAGAAGTCAATTCACAACAAGAGAATAAGATTCTGCTTCTATAAAGATAAGATAAGATATAACGTCATCATGCATTCAAATCAGGTATGTCTTTCAACAAGTGATCCATCAATTGCTACAAAGAGATTCAAGAATGCTCAAATCCCATCACAAGGAAAAGCATCGATAATTATGAATTACTCAAAAAGTCAAAATTCCCTAATTGTATAAAACTATCCAAGTTCAATAGCTATTTAAGAGCATTAACTAGCTATTCAATAGCCAAGGAAATTATATTGTGAACATTAAATTTAAAAATTTACAAAGTTGAGAGTGAAACAATGATTGTGAGCATTAGGTTACATGAAGTTATATACAAGTATCCAGCTTAATTCTTAGCCTAACACCAGAGAACATGCAACATGACGAATTTGAATACCAGGAAACCCGTGGATCCTAGTTGAATTTAAAATTACAAATTGGACCTAGCACATCAAGAATATTGCAACTAAACTCTGTCATCTCCCAACTTTGCAAAAGGAAAAACATCTCCAAATTTGTTCCGGATTCTAGAAAGTGATATTTACCATTACACAAGTAACAAACCAATTACCAGGAAAAAGTTGTTAAACTAGATAAAGGTATCCAAAGAAAAGACATGGGATACATCAGAATCCAATGCAAATATATGAAGTAAAAAAAATACTTTTCCCCTTCACTATGACATCAATAACAACAATAATGATTACAATATATCCATTATTGTTAATTGATTTAGTACCTTTTTGTTGTTTTTGTTTTATTGAAACCAAATCAAGATTTCTGACCCAACTATTTGTCTAACTAATTAAACTTTCCTATTTGCTCCAAGAAGATGTATGAATAATACGCACCTCAGGTAGCATATCCACTTTTCTCCCAGCTGCTATTTCAAATGCATATATTTTCATGATTGCTGTAATAGCATAAGCCTTCAAACAAAGCAAAGGAATTTAAGCCCATATCAGTAACTATATGAATGGATCGAAACAAAAACTATATAAATAGATTAGAAAGAATGCTGAAGTACATACAGAGATCCACATACGTGTGTACACACCCTATATGTGTATTATATGTCTTACAAAAAAAAAAACACCCAGATAGAAAGAAATATGCATATTTCTAATAAAGAAATGAGAATGATTAGCAAAAATAATAATAATAATAACAAACAAATAAATAAATGACAGCAGATTGAAATACATTTAATATTTTTCTTTAGCATATTTCCAAAATAATCATCATACGAACTAAGTTCCAATAAAACTTACGTTGGGAGAAGCATTACCACTAAAGAAGAAGAAAAGAAAAACCTTTAAGCCGTTCTAAACACCCTAATGAGCAATAAGAAAATGGTCACTATGCTAGAATTCCTGTTCCAATTGTCAAAACTATATTAGGATTCCTGTTACCAAGTAATCATTTGCTGGCATGTACTTCATTACTCTGTTTGTTTTAATGAAGTTCTGTTTCCTTTCAAAAAAGTTATGATTCATCAAAGTCAGTGGCACAAACTTCAATCTACAAAAAGACTAGGCCACAGCAGAAATGTTGAAAAGCCAAACACTACCACGTATGAAAGTATATCCATAAAGTCACTAGACTGCTCAAAATAGATCAAAAGGAAGGATTTTATTTCTAACAAAGTTTGAATAATCCTAAAGTCGTCCAATCTATAAAAATTTATTGCCATGAGAAGTTATTCCAGAAAAAGGAAGCTCATAAGAAGTTATTCCAGAAAAAGGAAGCTCCAAAGCATCCATGCAAAACAGTACTTTCTTTCATCTTCACATACATTATACATATGGTAGTAAAGGAAAGATAGGTTCAGCCATAGGAATGAAACAGGCACCGATCATGCCCTAACTATCATACCTACAGAAAAACGAAAGGATTTAAAAAAAAAAAAAAAGTAAAAAACGTATTGAGTTTAACAGAAGGATACCCGAACAGTTTCGTCATTGGAATATGCCTCTGCAACGTCACATAGCTTCCCAGTGATATAGGAAGCAGAATACTTCCCATCAGCAGTTCCATATTCCCCCAGTACCCAACAAATGACCTATAATGAGAAACATCATTTTCGATTATACACAGATACAACTTTTTAGCATTGTCTATGCAAGTGAAATTAAATGGGAAAACGTAGATAAGGTGTAATATACCTGAAGAAATACAGATGGCAGTTTGGGCTCTCCAAGAATACGCAAATACGATTGTACCTGCAAAATTTAAAGCAGCAAATAAATAATTAGCCAAGGAAAAAATTTCCATTCGGTAAGAGTGGAAAGACAGTAATGTTAAACAAAACTAGGGGAAGCGTTTTAGTTGATGTAAGTACACTCCTTATGGTAAAATTGACAGAAACAAATGAAAGGAGAACCGCAAGAGGTTTGTAAATATTAGAAATCTATTCAAAGCTAATTGATGTGAAACTACTTTGTGTAAGAACTAAGAATTAGACTGGGCTAAGAATGGGGAATGGTTATGGATGAACCAATCTACTAGAGTCAGAACTTAGAACAACTTCGCTCATATATTTCTTGTCATACTGAAGTGCATTTGACAAAGTTTGAAGATAGTAGAAAGTAAGAATGATATCAATAAAGTTACCAGTTTCTTATCCCAAAAAAAAAAAAAAGTATGATCTTTAAACTGTTAAACATTATGAACAGGAATCTAATATTGGTTTTATCTACATATTTATATATGAGATGTAAGAAGACATACAAATTGCATGACTTTCTTGCTATCAAGAAATCCAATAATATATCTTACATGAATAGGTATATAATGAGAGCAATATGAAAACTACATACAGCAGAAGATCTCAGCTGAGTATCTGCAGTTTCATCATCCTCTCCAAACCCCTCTGCGATTAACCTCATCAAGTTATGTGCCACCTTTACATTTACAAGATCTCCAGCATGCTCAAAGACTTTATTCATGGTCTGTGAAGCAGCTAACAGACAGGGATGAGAATATGGAATTCAAGAAAACAATTTCTTTTCTTTGCTGTCATTTCTATTTTTTTTCAAAAAAGAAAAATAAAACAAAATTTCCAGAGACGGCAACAAAGGTACCTGGATAAACCAATTATTACTAGGTGCAAATTGTTCAGCAAGCTCCACGCAACGAGATGCTATATAGGTCTTGTAATGATTATCATTAATGCTTATCATATAATCAATCATGCGATCAACAATCACTTCAACATTGGAGGACTTGGTCATTTTGTAGAGTAGTTCAAATGTTTTTCGCTTTAGAGAATCATCTGGGTCCTGGGTCATGCACAGCAAGATTCTAGTAATTGGAGTGAAAATAACAAGCAAGCGTGATCGGAAACAAATCATTCATCATGCTAAATAAAATGCCAACCTCTAAGCAATCAATCACAGCCAGTTGGTGTTGTTCCGCGATCTCAGGACTCAACTTTATCAGTCGACCAAGGCCGTCAATGCCCATGTATTTGAGATTATGACTATCGCTCTGTGCACACCATTTACAACTTCCAATAAATAAAAAATCAAAAAAATAGAGTCATCACTAATACTGGGTGCATTGCAAATTTGCAATTTAGCAGCAGCCTTAGAAACAGTTTATAAGCAAGCAATCATCTTAACTAAGTTGCAGAATGCGCTTAACAATGTCGGAGCACAAACCTTCAAAAATCTGGAAATGACTTCGGTGGCACCTTCTAACAACTTGGGATTCAGATATATGGATGAAACACAGCATAAACACTCGTAAAGCACCGCGTTTCCAATGTTGCTAGTGGAATCACACTTCCTAAATATGTCTCCGACAACGGTGTACATCTTCTCACTGGCTTGCTTATCCCCACTTCCTAACAAAGCCAGAATCTTGAGCAATTTGATCTGCATAAAAGTGCAATTCAATTTACTTTCTTTTTTTCTCTTCTTAATCAAAAAGCAATAGCTCTTTTTCTGATTCTATTTTTATACAACCAACCAATGCATTAAAAAAAATAATAATAATAAGAGTACCCGTTCTAGCCAATGACTAAAGCACTTGAACTAAAAGAGCATTAATTCAGTTGGGAAACCAAACATTAGGGTGAAGAATTTCAGTTGGGTTTAGGACCAACCTGAATGAATGGAGCAGGCATCGAATGGTAGTCGTAAGCCTTGGGCAACCTGCGCTCGGCGACCTGCTTGAGAATGCTGACAAAGCTGACGACCAAATCCTTGAAGGAATTAGGATCAGCAGCGATGAGATCAAACAGAGGACAGAGAGTCGCCCCCATCACTCCTGGATCATTATCACATAGCCGCTTCCGAAAATTCGACACCAGATGCGCAACGGAGGAAGGCGACTTCTGGTGGAAGCGGTGCAACGCCATGATGGCCTTCTTCCTAACAACCTCCTTGGGATGAGAAAGAAGCTCAACGACCTGAGGCAAAACGGCGGGAATGGTCTCATCATTGATGAGCTTGCAGACGGCGGAGAGAGCGGCGGAGACGACGAGGAAGTTGTCGGAGCGGAGATCCTTCTGAATAGTGTTAACAATGAGGATGATGAGATCGTGATCGTCAGAGAGGAAGAGAGTGACGGCGAGATAGCCGGTGCGTTTGAGGAGAAGAGAATCGTCGTGAGTCATCTTAACGGCGTGGATGTAAGCGAAGGAGGCGTCATGGCCGAGCATTTCGACATAGACGAGGCGAATGAGATACTCCTTCATCTTACGTTTGGGGATGTCGGGATCGGAGAGACGGCGTTTGAGGGTTTCGATCTCTCGGAGGACGATTCGGTCTTCCTCGGCCTTCGATCGGGCTTCTCCGATCGACTTCACGAGTTCCAGAAACTCCTTCGATTGGCCGAAACCTCCCTGAGATCCCATCGCCAGTTCTCGACCAATCGTCTTCAGTTGCTCCATTGTTGTTTGTTGTTGGAATTCAATTCAATTTAATTCAATTCGAGTGTTTCTTTTTCTTTCTTTCTAGGGTTTTAAGGAATTGGAATTGAGATTCTGAATTGATGAGAGGAAAGAGGATTCAGAATTGTTGTGATAGGAAGGCACACGGCGTACAATGAGGATTACCGGGTGTCGGAGAAGCATACAGTTAAAAAGAGAAGAAGAGACAAGTCTAATTCATTTCTTATTTTTCTCATTTCTATTTTATTTATTTATTTATCCACTGCTCTTACTTACCAAACTCACAAAAATCTAACTTAAATTCTCTTTTTCTTTAACTCATAAAAATAATGGTCGCATTTAGAATTTAGAACTCATTTTAAAATAATTTTATAAAAATAAAAATATTTTTAGTTTTAGATAAAAATTATTTATAAAAATGTGTTTAGTAATTTTATTAAGAAATTATTTTTAATGTAAACAAATTTATTAATGTTTCTTTTTCTCTCTTTTTACTCGAGAGATGAAAAAATAAAAATAAAAAATGAAAAATATTTTTATCTCATTTTATACTAAACCAAAAAATTATTTTTATTTTTATTTTTTGTCTTTATTACACCAAACGTTATTTTAGAAATGTTTTCATTTTTTCTATTTCAAAAAATATGAAAAATAAAAACAGAATCAATTTTAAACACAGTTTTTAACTACAATTTTTTTTTTTTTTTTTTTGCATGATTATGTTGCCTTTGCTTCTAAGGATACGTATCTTTTTATACTCCAGATATTAGGTTCATTAAAAAATTATGCTTTTAGTTTTTTATCTTTTTAAAAATATACCATGAAATTATGTTTAATATAAAAATCAATATCTTTCATCGTCAATCTTTAATTTTCACTTTAAAATGCTCAAAACACCTTTAAATAGCAAAATGAAAATAAAAGGATAAAATTATTTGAAACTTACGATTTTAACCTTTTAAATGTCAAAACTACCCTCTAAATAGGCTTTTTGTGTGTTTTTAATTTTTTTAAGTTATATCCTCTATTTCTTATGGACAGTTTGGTATTTTAAAGTTCAAAATCTACTGTTAATTGAAATAAGGTATATATTTATATATTAAACTTAATTCAAAAATATACATCTAATGAAGTTAAGAATTGAATGTATAGTTTTTTTTTTTTTTTGAGTGAATGTATAGTTTCTGAAAAAATCTAAAAGATCCTATTTTAACAAAAAAATAGAGGGCAATTTGAAAAAAAAAAAAAATCAACATTTCGAAAGACACTTTTTAAGTTACATAATTTAAGGGGTGCTTTGTGTGATTTTATCTAAATTATTAGGTGAAATGATCATTTTTCAAATTTTGAAGGGCATTTTGAACTAAATATAGGACATTGACAAGATCAATCATAAATTAAATTCATACTGGATTAAATAAATTAACAATAAAATGAAATCCAAGAAATGAAAATTTGTGTCATATATTTTTGTATTTTTTATAATCTCATTTATTTTATCGATTCGAGTTTATTACAGTAAAAAATTCTCAGAAACAATCATATTTAACTTTTTTGTTACAGTAAAAAACTCTCACATAATATCATATTTCAACTCAAATTAAAAATTTGAATCAACGAATTAAACGGTCCAATATATTTTTGGAAAACGATTGTGATGGTCCGTGGTCGCTTGTCCCACGTCTTTTTTTTTTTTAAGAAAATTGTCCCACGTGTTTTTGAAATTTAAATTAATTGGAATGTTGAGGTAGGATACTTGAAAATAGGGAAACGATTATCAGCTAATAATTTCGGCAGCAATTCTTACTAAACCCGTTTTCCTATTTAACTATGGGGTAGAGCTTAATGGGCTGAACATGTTTTGCTTGTTCAACAGTTAATAATGATCGAACTTGATAATTTAAATAGTTTAGGGTTGTTCTTTTGGAGTGTTACTTGAGTGTAGTTTTTGAGTTATAATTTGAGTTTAAAATTATAACTTAAATAAAACTGAATAAAATTGAATAAAGTTGGAACTTAAAAAAACGTGAACTTAAATAAAATTGTATCTTGAGTTTAAATTTTTTTAAAATTTTGTTATAAAAGAACAACCCCTTAATAATTTGAAATAGAAAACGTTGCGAAAAATGGGGAAGACAATAGAGAACTGTAACAACGAACAGGGGGAGGGCCGAGATGGGTAAAGAATAAAGATAGACTGATAGTTGCAGATTGGGAGAGAGGAGTGGGGACATTTTTTAGATTTTGAAAATTTTGTTGTAAAATATGCTTTTAATTTTTATTCTTTTAATTAAATTTATGCTATTAATTTTAAGTCCCCCATTGAATTTTGCTATTTACCTCAATCACCTTCTTTTTTTTTATTGAAAATATTATTAAAACTACTAGTGTTTTGCAGTCTGATCTTTTTTTTTCTATTTTAAAGGTAATTTTGATAAATACTTTTTAAAAGTACTAAAATTTTTTATTATTTATTATTAATTTATAATTTTTTTAATTAAATAATTACATTAATAAAAAAATATTTATTAATAATAAAAAATAAAGGTCCAGACTCATACAGTAAATTGTATATTTAATTGGATGAGTTAGATTTTAAATTTTGAGTTGATTATGTGTTTTAAATTGAAAAATATCAAAAACCTACCCAACTCTCCCAATGTCCACCCCCGTTGGTATTGATTCATTGTAGTAATGAAAAAGTAGGATTATTAGGCAATTTCTCCACCTGTAAGTGCTTGTAATTTTTTTTCTTTGTAGCAATGATTTGTTTTCTTTCTATGTCTAAAAAAACAATTCTGACTTATATTTCGAAAATTATATGGAAACCGTATGGTTTCAGGTGACGGCTTTATGTTTAGAAAGAAATGGTGTCTTTTATTATTATTATTATTATTATTATTTTTCGGGTTCCATTTCTTACTTGCGTTAAGTGAGATGAAATAGCTCTTTCTTTTTGAAGAGCAGAATTGAGCCAGATTTCCCAAGTCAGATGTTGCAGTTTTGGGCAAGAGCCATGCAATCAGTTCACGTTTACCATGTCACATTTAAAAGAACAACAACTATAGTATTAGTATATTCCATCTTCTTCATCTCCTTCCATCGTACGAGGTCTTTCTATATCCCAAATCCAAAAATTTATGAAACAAAAGAATTTTTTTTTTCTTTTGATAAATCTTCCACATTTGTATTGGAAAACGAGATGAGCATTGGTGGTTCCGTGATAGATTCTCTTGTTGCCTCCATTAAGAACCTGACAAGCCAAGGCCATCTATCCAAAGCATTCAAAACTTTCTCTCTTGTCCAAAGCCATGTCTCTTCTACTGGCTCCTATGACATTGTCTTACAACCCATCTCTTCTCTTCTTGTCTCTTGCGCCAACCTTAAATCGCTCATGTCGGGTAAACAGCTTCATGCTTGCGTTGTCGTGCTTGGTTTTGAACGGAACCCCATTTTGGTTCCCAAGTTGGTAAACTTTTATTCGAGTTTTAATCTCCTTGTTGATGCACATGTTGTTACTGAGAATTCGAATATATTGCATCCTTTGCCTTGGAATCTGCTCATATTTTCGTATGCTAGGAATGGCCTTTTTGGTGAGGCTCTCTCTGCCTACAAACAAATGGTGAACAGGGGTATTCGACCGGATAACTTCACTTATCCATCTGTGCTCAAGGCCTGTGGTGAAACGATGGATTTAGCTTTTGGTAGAGAAGTGCACAAGTCCATTGGGTGTAGCCCTTTGCCGTGGAGCTTATTTGTGTATAACGCATTGGTCTCGATGTATGGGAAGTTTGCGCTCTTGAATGTTGCGCGCAACTTGTTTGACAAAATGCCCGAAAGGGATGGTATTTCTTGGAACACGATGATCTCTGCTTATGCCTCCAGGGGCATGTGGAAGGAAGCATTTGAGCTCTTTGAAAGCGTGCGAGTTGAGGGTAGGGAAATAAACATAGTAACATGGAACACCATTGCTGGAGGGTGCTTGCGCATTGGCAAATTTTCGCTGGCACTCGAGTTGCTCTCTCAAAGGAGAGCTTGCGGTATTCGGCTGGACTCAGTGGGATTGATTATTGGTTTGGGTGCTTGTTCCCACATGGGAATGATTAAGTTGGGGAGGGAAATTCATGGTTTTGCAATTCGCACTGGTATCTACGAGTTTGACAATTTTAAGAATGCATTGATTACAATGTATTCCAGATGCAAAGACCTTAGGCAAGCGGATATTATGTTTCAACTTGTAGAGGACAAGAATATAATTACATGGAACTCTATGCTTTCCGGCTATACCCACATGGATCGAGCTGAGGAAGCCTCTTTTTTTTTCAGAGAAATGTTGCATTCTGGAATAGAGCCAAATTACGTTACAATAGCTAGCATTCTTCCTCTTTGTGCTCGAGTAGCAAATCTTCAACACGGGAAGGAGTTCCACTGCTACATTATAAAACGAGAAGGCTTTGAGAATTACCTTATGTTATGGAATGCAATTGTGGACATGTATGCAAGATCAGGCAAGGTTTTAGAAGCTAAAAGAGTATTTGATTCATTAACCAGGAGAGACGAAGTGACCTATACTTCCATGATTGCTGGATATGGGATGCAGGGAGAGGGAAAAGCTGCTCTGAAGTTATTTGAGGAGATGAACAGGCTCCAGATCAAACCAGACCATATAACCATGGTGGCAGTTCTATCAGCTTGTAGCCATTCAGGTCTTATAATCCAAGGGCAGATGCTCTTTGATAAGATGTTGAGTGTGTATGGTATAAGTCCCTGTTTGGAGCACTTTGCTTGCATGGTTGATCTTCTTGGAAGGGCTGGTTTGATAAACACGGCAAAGAACACCATCACGAGGATGCCTTACAAGCCAACTCCTGCAATGTGGGCGACTCTTATTGGAGCCTGTCGAATCCACGGAAACTTGGAAATAGGAGAATGGGCAGCGGAGAACCTTTTGAAAATGAGACCCAAAAATTCAGGTTACTACGTGTTGATCTCCAATATGTATGCTGCCACTGGGCGGTGGAACAAGATAGCAATGGTGAGGACTTTCATGAGGGACTTGGGTGTGAGGAAGGCTCCTGGTTGTGCTTGGATTGATGTGGGCAATGGATTCTTCCCCTTTCTGGTGGGCGACACATCAATTCCCCATGTGCATGACATTTACAGTTTGTTGGATGGGTTGGTCGAGGTGATGAAAGATTATGGTTATACTGCCATTGAAGGTTTAGGTCCAGGTGAGGATGTTTATGAGGAGTAGAATAGACAAAGGACTGAGGGAGTTTATACCAAACTAAGCATCACTAACACATTTGAGAAGTGTGGACTAAATAAAAGACACACAGAACAAGTAAATACATGAAAAATGCAGAAAATGCAGAAAAGTGGAAATGCATTCTCATATATTATTGGAAATGTATATGAAAATGCAGAAAGGTGGAGATTTACTTGTCTTCTATTTTATGTTTATTGGAAATGTTCACCATACTATCAAAGGTTTATTCATCGAGGGTATATTTAGTTACTTTTTTTTTTTTTAATTCCATTTGTTTTATATGCTTCGGATAAAAGCTTTTATAGGGTACAACGAGTTCTTTTTGTTTCAATTTGCACATGATACTTTGTTTTTTTTTTTTTTTTTTTTTTTTTTTCTTTTTCTTTTCTATTTGTGAAATTGTTTTTTCTTGTTTTCTCTTCAAATGTTTTTGAGGCTTAGTATTTCAGTATATCCATTGATATAACTATTGATAGTCACAGGATGCATTCTCGTATGATTTTCTTTTTCTATTTAATATTTACGCCCTACACAAGTAAATTAATAAAAAGCATTTTCATTCTGTTGAATGTGTTTGTGTTTGTCAATTAGATTCTGATTAATAAAAACCATTTTAACTTCTTGGTACCTAGATCTTGCTAAGTTTTTTTCTTTTCTTTCCTCTTTTTTTTTAATTGTTTTTTTTTGTTTTGCCATGTTTATACTTTCTGAATGGGGGTAATAATCAGAAATGACCTTTAATATATTTGTTTTAAATGTTTGTTCTTAATACAAATGAATTCATTATTGTCAATTAAAACCATTCTCATTTCTATTACCATTTATATTGGGATATTCTACTGAATTTATTCGTGAGTTGCAAGAGACTTCTTTATAGTGAACTGCTTTTGTTTAGTGCATATGTTGATTTATTTGCCTGTATTACTTTCTGTTGGTTGTTGACTTCTTGATAATTTGGTAATTAGTAACTATACTTGTTTCTTTTTTGTTTACACTTTCTTAAATGAGGAGATACGAGTGGGAAGCATCAAATTCAAATGCATTGGCGACAAGTACCTGTAAAGAATTCAAATTCAAATGCAGCTTGGTAGATTTCATATTCCAATTGGAATTACATATACTATGACGAACGGATGAGGTTGGTGATAGAAATTGTTTGTTCTCATTCGAATGTTGAGCGGAAATGGAGTCACCGTTAGTTTTCTAAGAATTAAGAAAACTTGTTGCAGTTGGATAGTCATTTCATCTATTGTTGTCATTGTTACTGCAGATGTCTTAGAAAATGACATCCTTAGTTCCTTTGTTTTTCTTATTGTGAATGGAATACATTACAATCTTTTTTGTATTTTGGTATAGTAAATTATATACCAAGTCGGCCACAATGTAGAGTAGAGACACTCCTTGCTGATGTGTGGTTTGAATTTTCACGAGTAATGATGGACAACATTTCATGTTGGTTCTATTTCCATTGTCTTGTACATTCATTTTGATTCCCTGTATAAACTCAGTTGGCGCTCCTTTATTGGTGGGATATTTTTGGCTCGAGCAACAAGTTATAACTAGAAGGCAAACCCGAGAATTTGGTTGTCATATGCTAGTAAATGTTAGTATATAATCCATCCCAAAAATTTAAGCTATTAGTGAGTGCATTAATAATAATTAATGATAGTTCATTTGATGAAAATATGTATGACATGTTTATCTACACATAATCGGAATAGGCATGAATCGGAGTGAATAAGATTCAGAATCAAAATAAGTAATTTAATGTTAATATGAGTATGAAAATATGTATGGCATGTTAATTTTATATTTATAAGTAAAATATGAGTATGATAGTAATTTAATGTTAATATCGGGAATATGAGTCCCAATCCTAAGGCAATATAGAAGTGACAATCCCATTCCTCAATCCCAATAGTAATTTTGACAAATACCCCTTAAAATTATACCATTAAGGATTTTTTGGTCTCAACATTGGCCTATTGAATTTTGCCTCTTTAGAGTAAGTAATTTAATAGATTATTATCGATAATTTGACAGATGTTGCCAGCGACATGCGTAATTTAACAGATTATTGTCTAAAATTTGACAAATTATTATCTATAATTTGACAAATTATTATCAAAGGGGTAGAACTCCAAAAGGACGCATTTAATGGTCAGTTTTTGCAATTTTCTCCGATCCTAAATTTAAGTGTGACCCACCAATCTCACTATCATTTCAAAATAAAATAAAAAGTAAATAAATATAGGATTGATTCCTATTCCCCACTCTCATTCCTCAAATTGTTCAACTAGATTTTGAATTCTCTACAACACAATTGGGAATGGTGCAGCCATTTTTTGGATATCCACTAGTTGAAAAATACAAAAAGATATATTTCCAAACTTATATAAATCAAAACGAATTTCATTCCAACGAAAATTATAAAATTATTTATAAAATAAACTTAAAAAATAGTTAAATTATGCATAAATAGAATCATCATTCTGCAATAAATAATAAATTACTTAAGTGATTTCAAAATGGCAACACAGTAAATAATATGATTAATTATAAAAATTCTCCTTAAATTATAATTTTTATAACACTTTGCTCTTAATTTTAAAACATACCCCTCCTCCCTCTCTCTCTTAAAAATTAATGCCTCGTTCATTTCACCGATTCGAGTTTTCAGTTTTAGGTTTCTACAGTAAAAAGCTCTCAGAAAATGTCACATCTAACTTTTTCTGCTACAGTGAAAAGCTCTAAAAAAATGTCACATCTCAACTCGAATTGAAAACTTGAATCTGCGAAGTGAACGAAACATAAGATAACTTTTTTGTCAGTTAACTTGACAGAGTTGACACGTGACAAAAATACAACTTTAGTTTTTAAACAATTCAATACAAAATTACTCTTCTATCCTCCCATTATGATTTATTGATTTTAAAATATAAAACGTTTTGTTTCCGTTAAAGTTCTGAAAGTTTTATTGTTCTAAAAGAAAAAAAAACTTTAGTAACATTTTTATCTCTCTTTAATCAGTGTTACTTTTTTTTAAACAAAAAAAAAACTTGTTAAGTTTTGGTTTTTATTTAAAATTTTCCTCAAAATATAAATTCTAAATAAAGTCTAAATCCAAGTTTGATTGGAAGTACTAAAATAAACTTATATTATATATCACAAGTTAATTACTATTCAATTTCCGTCTTATATTATATATCACAAGTTAATTATTATTCAATTTCCGTCAAAAACCCTAACTGGAGGAGCTATTTTGTTAATGTTCATTCTTTAAGAGGAACAGTTGTTATGTTTTAAGAATCCAACGACACATTGACATTCGGGTCATAATTTGTAAGAAATTTTTGTAATTAATCATAAATAATGAACTCTTTTTTATGAAAAATTACTGGTAATTTCCATACTAGTTTAAGGAAGGGCTTGTTTAAAAGAGGGCTCAAACCCCAGTTTAAAGTTTTTGTTACAATATTTTCTCTAATAAAAAATTAAATTTTAAAAGTTATGATACAGTAATTTATCTCCAAAAATTTAAAAATTCGAATTTTGGATCAAACATGACCAAACAAGCCCTTGGCTTGCTTATGGCAGTTATTGTGTAATATTCGACGTGTTTGTTTCACCCGTTCAGCGCAATTCGGCCCAGACCGAACGGCTTTGCTGTCCCAATCCCAATCTGTGTTTCATAAATATAATTCAAATTAAAGGAGCAGTTCATTTTGAACAGACCGGCTGAAGTTAGAGTACTAATGTGTGTTTAGTTGGTGGATTTGTGTTATGATTCGTGACTTGTTATAATATTTTTTCTCATAAAAAAACTCATAAATTGAGAATAATTTTAAATTATAATTCTAAATTAATGAATCGGCCTCGTTCGTTTCGCTGAAGGGGAAACTTGAACTCGAGTTTTAATCACAAACTCGAGTTTAAACTTAAAAGAACATGACTTGAATAAAGTTGTAACTCGAGTTGCTTTTTTTGAGTAAAAACTCAAAAAAGGGACTGGCGAACAGCCCTTAAGTTTCTCCCTCAACTCGAGTTTAGAAACTCGAACTCAAATTAATGAACAATATTTTTTCTATTCTTAAAAATGCTATAACTTTTTCGTTTTAATTCTGATTGAGATGATTTTTTTCTATGCGTTGACAACGAAAAGACGAATAAATCCCCACCCATATACCCTATTAAAATTTTCCATCAGCATTTAGTTTTATTAAAATACTATCTAAATACAATTCAAGTTTTGACTCACTCAAACATAAACTCAAAAAGATTTTTTTCTCAAACTATAACTCAAATGTACACAACTAAACACAAACTCAAGTTACAACTTCAACTCAAGTTATAACTCAAACTTAACTCAAAATCTACACTCAAGTTACCTAACTAAAAAATGACAAAAGAACTTTCCCTGAGTTTTGCTACAGTAAAAAACTTTCAGAAACAATCACATCTAACTTTTTTAATACAGTAAAAAGCTCTCACATAAAATCACATCTAAACTCGAATTAAAAACTTGAATCAGTTAACTAAACGGATCCTTAAATTCACGTTTTTTTTTTATTTATAAAATTTAAGTTTAAGCTTGAATTTTAATTTAAATTTTAATTTGAGTTTAGGGTTAAAATCTGGGTTTAAATATCTCCTCCAACTTTATCCGAGCTTAACCGCTTCTTACAGGATCCGATTATTGTCCGACAAACGCATAAACCCTAGTCTTCCGACTTCCAAAAATCCAACATCCGTTTTCCTTCGCTCTTTTTCTCCATTTTCCTCCACTTTCTCGCCGATTTTCTCGGCTACTGAACCTTCCGAGACGCGAGATCAGTAACCGAAATCTTGAGCTCCGACCATGGCCGCCGAATCTGCGGCAAGCGCTGGCGATTCCTTCATCGGAAGCTTCATCAGCCTCATTTCCAAGTACGAAATACGCTACGAGGGTATTCTCTATCATATTAATGTACATGACTCCACCATCGGCCTCAAAAACGGTATTCCTACTCAATATTTGTGCGATGATTGCATTTCCTTTTTGTATTTTGCGGAAATTGAGAATGAGAAACCTCTATAAATCCATCCATAAAAGAATAATGGAAATTTGGTTCTACGGTTATACGTGCTTATGCTTTTCTGGATCAGAACGTGAATTGATGAGATGTGAGAGTTTGATTTTGAATGCGATGATTTAAATGTTGGTGAATATCTAGATTTTAGTACCTTGAAGGACTATTTTTTTGACGTTTAGGTTGATTTAGCAAAACCTCAGAAATGTTAGAAAGCGTAAAATAATATTTAAAATCGAAATATAGGGCTCTTTGTTTAGAACATGTTTTCTGAATAAGAAAATGAGTCCACTTTTCTGGGAATGTGAGGCCAGGACAGATAAACTTCTAGAAATGGAAATTTTGGGGAGTTCTTGATGATCTCTGCTCGACAAATTTTGCTTCCTGGATTTCATCTTCTGTTTGTTGATATAAATGTTTTTGGAGGAACTTTTGTGATCCTTTGTTAATAATTTGTTCATTAGCACTGTAGTGGGATTTCAAAGAAACGAGTTACATTTTTTAAGTTTCTTATTACCAGCGCGAGTCCCATTGGCACTGGCAGGGCTTTTGCTTTTATTTTTTTATTTTTTTTTATTTTTTTTATTTTTTTTATTTTTTTTTATTTTTTTTTATTTAAGTCAATAGAAGAAGAGAAGTAAAAGGTGTGCCTTTTCAGCAAAAATACTTGGAACTACATTTTTCAAAGAGTTTAATAGGCCAAAATAATGTTTAAAATTTTCTAGTAGGCAATAAAAATATCATGATGAAGTTTATAATGTCTAACCAAAAGTCTGATACAAGTTTAAAAGTCTATTTAGAAGATGTTTTTTTAGAAGCCATGTTTTGTGGCTTTGAGTCAATGCTCTTCGAGAGAGCTAAAGCTCTTTTAACAATCCAAACAAAGCAGCTTTTGGACCAAGGAAGCCAAAGGCAGCTTCCAGGAAGCTTTGCCAAGTAGGCCCTCTAATTGCTTATTGTTTTTGTGTATTATGCTTTAGGAATACTTTTGTATTCTAATATGATGGCCGGTCATACTTTGATAAGGTTTTTAAGTGGGTTTGCTTGGACTGTGAATGATACTTTTGTATTTTATAGGAGATCTTGGCTCTTTCTTTATAGCTCTTGTATCAGCTAGTCTGGAATTAGGTTTGGCTATATTACAACCTTATGTTTTTACGATCTTAATCTGTATATACTAGAATGATGCTATGAATTTCCACCAATGTGGTTATTGAATTTAAGTTGAACTTAGTCCTCTTCTTATTCCTTAATATTTTGTTGTTCATTGTCAAAATTGAACATCTTTTAGTGTCTTAACTTTCTAAATGATGTTGCAGTCAGATCATATGGAACGGAGGGGAGAAAGAAGGATGGCCAGCAAGTTCCTCCAAGTGATAAGGTTTATGAATACATTCTGTTTAGAGGAAGTGATATTAAGGTAAAGAGTGCTTGATGATTGATTTATGTTATCCGAAAGCGTAATACATTCTTCACTTTTTGCATGAGGTGCTATACATTCTTTGTAGAATATTTTATTTGAAGGCTTATGCTATGTGTTAAGACTGTAACTCACTGATGTAGTTTCTTAATTCTGTTAAATCCAATACAGTTTCAACTTTCTAAAGATCCTATAATGTTTGATCTCTGTCCCTCTCTGTCTCTGTCTCTGTCTGTCTCTCTCTGTCTCTCTCTGTCTCTCTCTCTCTCTCTCTATGTATGTATGCATATAATGCGCATGCACATACCCGCATATTGTTTCTTGGAAGAAACCACCTACTTATTTCTTTTCACTTGTACTTTTGGTTCCTCTTCTTTCCCTCAGGGGATTTTTTTTTTTTTTTTTTTAAGTGCATCATGTTCATGTGTCTAAAGGCTTTAGTTCTTTTTCCTTCGATACCATTTTTGGCATCTCATCTGTTGTGGACGGTATCTCACTGATGTAGTATTTGAATTCAGTTCAAATGTCTGTAAAGATCCTGTCATGTATGTGGCAGTACACATGGTATCGTTTATGATTATGCTATCCTGTTTTTGTGATAGAAACTCTTGCAATTCTGTCTTGTGATTTCTAAACACGTGATAATTTAACTGCGAAGATGGCGATACCTTCTAATTATACCCTAATTGCTGTCTTGACATTTTCAACCGTTGTTGGTTATACTTAATTACTGCTATAAGGTTTAAATCCCTCCATCTCCATTTCTTTTTGTGATTTCAGGATTTGCAAGTTAAGTCCTCCCCTCCTGCCCGAAAAGAACAGATTCATGATGATCCTGCTATCATTCAGGTATCCCCATTGTAGTTCCCTTTTATTTGTGTGCATACATGTACACATATATGTGATGTTATTTCAAATTACAGTTTATATTTCCAATGCGAATGCTATATTTGGCAATTGGCACAAAAAGTATACAGTTGGCATGTTTGACATATTGTTCTAGTTTGATCTCCAATGCATAGTCCTATGTTAAATGCAGAATCCACTCTTGTAATTGTTTTTTTTTTTCTTTTTAAATTTGGAGGGTAATAAAGTTTTATGCTTCGGAATATGTCAAGGAAAAATTTTAAATTTCAAAAATTGAAAAGTGGTAATGTTGTAATGATCAAGTGAAAAAGTGAACTATAACAAAATAAGCGTGGCATTTGGCAAAATTTGGCATGCGGTTGGTTAATGGTTAATATGATAAAGCATTTTAAGTATAGCAGTGTATTGATATGATTTTATGCCTAACTTCGATTTTTTTTATATGCCAAATTTGACGTTAATTATAGCATTGTATTGTAGTTTTGTTTTTTTTGTTTTCTATATACCAAAGTGCCAAATTTTAGAAATTTTGTATCGTGCTAGGGATGCTCGTATAATTTTAAAGAGTAAATTTGAGAATCTTACAAATTGGTTTGTTATTTATTTTGTGGTTGGCAGTCACAGTATGCTGGGGTCCCTGCTAGTTCTTCACCACTGACACCAGCTATTAAGAACAGTTTGACAGAATCAACTGAGTGGCAAGATACCCCTGCTTTGACAAGTAGAGGGTATTCTGGTACTTTGCCTTCAAATCAATCTGCTACCCAACAATCAGAAAATTCTACCATGTCTCAAACAACAATGTACTGGCATGGATACAACGGTGCATCTATTGGCACTTCTTATCCTCCACAACACCATGTTAATGTTCAACCCCCATCAGTGATGTCGAGTCCCTCGACAGTGCAGCCACTTATACAGGCTCCTGAAATTCAGGCATCTATGGCTTTGGGATCGATCAATGCATCAGAATTTAGGACCCCTGTATCTTCATCTTCCATGCCTACCTCTGTAAATCCAAAGTTTTCACCCTCTCTTTCTCCTGTACAGTACTCTGCTTCTCTTGGTGTACCATCCTTGTCCACTCAGGCATCTCTACCATCTCATTCCACTTCGCCAACTGCTAGTACTCTGACTACATCTTCAATTCCTTTATCTCGCCTAGATTTGAACATAAATGAAACCCAAATTGTTCATAAAGCTGTTTCTGACTCGATACCAGTGCTACCCGTCCAGTCTATGCCACATCCTACATCACCCTTTATGGGTTCAAATTTAAGTCCCTTGCTAACACCACCCCCACTTTTGTTTACACCTGATCAATCAGCACATTCTGGATCTTACATGCTGTCGTCCATGCAGAAACTGTATCCTAATCAGAAAGACATGGGAGCTCTGGTACCAATGCCATCTAATTCTTCTTCCTCAATTCCCACTCCTGTTATACAAGCACCATTATTACCATTGCCGACTTCGACACAAAAGGTTTGATATATTTCTTTTTTTTTTTTTCTAAGCAAATCTTTTGTTTTTGTATCTATTTCGAAGCTGTCTGTAACAGTGCATTGTATCTGTTTAGTGTTACGAAATATTTTTGGAGAGAATTTTTTTTTTTAATATGTACGTGATAAAGAGGTTGAGGAAAAAAAGAGTTGATGAGGTGCTAAATGGATAGTGAAAGACGAAAACATCTGCTGGTTGTTTCTCTATTTTTTTTTCTCTTTTCTTATTCTTTTAATTAAAATTTATATGCAGGCCGTGGAGTTCACTGAAGAGTTTGACTTTACGGCTATGAATGAGAAATTTAAGAAGGATGATCTGTGGGGCTACCTTGGGAAGGGAAAACGAACGGATAAAGCAGAGGGAACACAGGACAATATAGCTGGACATCGCACGGAAGAGAAAGAGGGTCATGGCACGTTAGCCAACCAAAAGGTTGGACTTGGTACAATTTGTGTTTCTGGTTTTGATGTTTTCTTGGTCTAGTGCGTATCAATGTGTAAACTTGGTAGAAGTCTTATTGATTCTTCATACAGCCTGCATATAACAAGGATGATTTCTTCGACTCAATTTCATGCAATTCACAAACTCGTGGGGCAAGAAATGGGCAGCATCGGTTTTCAGAGCGAATCAAGCTGGACACTGAGGTATGCTTATTATTATTTCCTTGTTTGCGCCTTTAAAGTGAGAGATAAATATGTCAAAATTGTAACAAAGCACATTCAAATAGGAAGTTTAGCTGATGTCCTCTCATGTACTTTCATTTTCAGACGTTTGGATTCCAGCAGAGAGCTAATCCAGGTTATGGTGGCTATGCTGCTGGTGGGCGCGGGGAGAATTTCAGGGGCTTTTATAACTGGGGAAGGGGATATGGCTACGGCGGTGGGAGGGGACGTGGAGGAAGCCTGCCGTTCTAGTGCCGGTCTGCATTTTAATGCTCTATGAAGCTCCTTGGTCTTTTATCAAAGTCATAGATATGCTTGATATGTTGTTACTCTACTCCGAACCAGTTAGCTTTATGAGGTCTGAATTTGAAGGGTAATGTTGTGAACAGTGGGATTATTGTCTCAGATGGTGGGAAAGGGACTCTCAAGTAGCAATATTTTGTTAGTTCATGTATTTTTAGTGCCCATGAACTGGCATTCTGCACCTTACGTTTCAATTGTCCCCGAGATGACTACTTGCCGAAGAAGGAAATCATAGTCTAGATGAGTTGTGCTTTTCTTCTGTGTTTTTTTTTTTTTTATTTTATTTTATTTGCTCTTTTCTGATTTTATACTCTCAAACGTGTGCCTAGGCATCTATAAAGTCGGGTGTTCAAGTACTCTTTTTCCTTTTCTTCTTTTTGAATGTTTGGTATAAGTTTAAATCTATAGTTTTAATTTTACTATGGTGTTTTTTTCTTATAAAAAAATTAAATTTTAAAAGTCATAATTAAAACCCTTAGGCTGTGTTTGGTTAGGGGGAATGGAAAAGAAAAGTCATTCCACCTAATTCCATTGTTTGCTTTCATTTTTTAGGTTAGAAACGGAAAGCCCCATTTTGAGTGAATGGCCATTCACGTGGGGGGTTGTGGAATGGCTTTTCCATTCAGCCCTGTTTCACGTTTTCTCCAAAAACTCCCTGATGCCCTAGCCCCCATTTCTTGCTTGACCATCGAGCTCCAGCCATTGACCATCGACGCCATGGCTTCGAAGCTCCCGAACCAACTCTGAGCTCTCTACGCATCCACAACCCGTCACCGGCTTCTCTCCTCGATTCCCGAACCCTAACGAAGCTTTCCGAGACCAAACACAATTACTCATAACTCTCTCTCTCTTTCTCTCTCTCTCTCTCTCTCTCTCTCTCTCTCTCTCTCTACAGTTCCAATTGGGAGCAACAATGGCGGGCGGAAAGGCGAGGAAAGAGAAACCGAAGCCGAACGCAGCAGCGCACGCTCCATACCAAGGAGGCATATCCTTCCACAAGTCGAAGGGACAGCACATTCTCAAGAACCCTCTGCTCGTCGACTCCATCGTCTAGAAAGCCGGCATCAAGACTACCGACACCATCCTCGAGATCGGTCCTGGTACCGGAAACCTTATGAAGAAGCTTCTAGAAGCCGGTAAGGCGGTCATCGCCGTTGAGGTCGACCCTCGTATGGTCCTCGAGTTGCAGCGGCGCTTCCAGGGCACTCCTCTCTCCAATCGGTTGAAGGTATTTCTTTATTTCTAGATCTCCAATCTTTTCTTTTTTCCATTGCGTTGCGTTTTTTGTTTCAATATCCGCAGAATTTGTTGTTGTGTTTTGGATTCCGGTTAATCCTATATTGCGATTGAGGTTTTCTTCGTTTTGAATCGTAATTTTGATGTTATTATTAATTGAACTGCATATATTTAGCCTTCTTGGTTAAATGAGACTGGTGGCCCAGCCTGGGGGCAAGCTCTACTGCCGTCTTACTGTGAACACCCAACTGCTTGCCAGAGTCTCGCACCTCCTTAAAGTCAGAAAGAATAGCTTCCGCCCTCCGAGGCCTTTGTAAAAATAACTCTTTTGAAAAGTTTTATTAGTAAAATAATTTCTCAAAAATTTTTATTTGCAAAATGACCTCATTTACAAAGAATGAGTAAATGTCTTTCTTCATAAAAAATAGAAGAAGGTCATTTTGCTAATTTCACTTTGTTGGAAAGTCATTCTAGCATATTGCTCCCGCCCTCCCCTGAAAGTGGATTCCTCTGTGGTTCGAATTGAGCCAAGGAAACCCCGGATTGAAGTGAAGCAAAAAGAGTGGGATGGATTTCTCCGGATATGCTTCAACCGTAAGAACAAGACTCTTGGTTCAATCTTTAGGCAGAAGAGTGTCATTACTTTACTGGAGAAGAACTACAAGACTGTACAGGCACTGAAGCTCTCAGGACAAGGTTTGATGGAGGATAATGATAATAAGATGGACTTTTCGAGACTCAGGGACAACAATGAAGACCTAAATATGGATGTGGATGATGATGCTGATGGAGCAGATGAATAAATGATAATAAGATGTGGATATGGATGGAGTTTTAGCTCTAGCATTTGGTGATGTAGAAGGGGAGGCATCTGAATTCAAAAATAAGGTTTTGGCCGTGTTGAAGGAGGGCGATTTTGAAGAGAAGAGATCGTCCAAGCTCACCCTACAGGAATTCTTGTATCTGCTTTCTTTGTTCGACAAGGCTGGCATACACTTCTCCTGATTTTTCATCCTCGTCCCCTGAGGAGCTCTCTTCGAGTGGTTCATTAGGAACATCATTGGGAACATTATATTTGGTGATGTAGTCCTTCAGTATGGCCATGCTTTCCTCTTTCACAGAAGCCAGCTGCTCGGAAAGTGTTCCTTCAGCTGCTCGGAAAGCCATGCTTGCACTTGAGCCTCCATAATGCTGCAGCATAATCAACCCACCACCCCACAATTAGACTTTTACTCAATAATATTGGCAACTGAATTAACCCAATTAGGTTAACCTCTTGTTTTATATTACATTAGGTTTTGTACATCCTGAAGAAATAAACATCAAACCAACAGAAAAACAAGCCAAACGTGAGTTTTTGAAAATTTGAACTTACATAATTGAGGATAAAGTGGCTATGTTTTTCAACTGTGATTCTATCTTAACTTTTTATTTATTATTTTATTGAGTAAGCTTTCACGATTCTATCTAAACTTTACCTATCAATGGGCACGCCTTCATTAATAGCTCAACTATATAAATGGTGATCAACATCTTATACAGAAAAAGATATAGATATCGAAAAGAGAAAAATAACTAATTAGGATTATGCTTCACTTTGTTAAATTGTATTAACTAGGAACTTGTTTTACTTGGCATATAATTATATTTTGGGATTATATATGTAGTTGAATAATATATTATCATTTTTATTATTGATAGGGGCGAAAGTTACATTTTTCAGAGAACATATCATGATAGATGTTAAAAATTATCATATTTGAGCTTGTGATAATTTATTATTATATAAAAATATCAAATATATATTTTTTTTACAATTGAAATATAGTTTTTAAATTATTATCCTTCAAATAAAAAGTTTTTTTCAATAATTAAATTATTTTTTACTATTTTAATTAATTAAAATATTAAATTATTTAGGATTATTAATCAAGGGTATTTTTGTCAAAATACAGTTTACTTTCATTCTATTCTATTGTCAACCAAACAACATAATCATCATTCAGGTATTGATTCTATAACTCTAATCAAACAAAAGAATCAGTTTATAATTTTAGCACATTTCAATTCCATTCCATTATCATTCTCATTATTATTTTTATTACCATTCTGTTACTGCAACTAAACGTACCCTTAGGCCTCGTTCACTTCACCGATTCGAGTTTTTAGTTTTAAGTTTCTACAGTAAAAAGCTCTCAGAAAATGTCACATCAAAATTTTCTGCTACAGTAAAAAGTTCTCAGAAAATGTCACATCTCAGCTCGAATCGAAAACTCGAATCCGCGAAGTGAACGAGGCCTTAGTTTGTTTTCTGATTTGAACTTATATACTAAACACGGATTCCTAGTAGAAAGAAATAATGTGAAGCAGGAAAGTAAAATAGTTCAGTTTTATGATAAAATTTAGAACTATTACATGACAAGAAAAGTAAAATATAAGTTTCTGTTTTGTTACATGACAGTCTTAATATAGTCGTATTTTTGCGTTAGTTGCATATGTTAAATTAATAGTGATAGATAATTGAATGGTTTTGTATTGTGTCTACCCATTAGCCATCACTAGCTTATCTGACCCGCTACACGTGACGTGGCAATGAAAGTTCTCCTTATTTTTATGAGGTGTAAAGGTTTGCCTTCACTGTCAAATAGAATGTTTTGCTAAGAGAAGATTGGTTTGGCTGCAACCACTTTCTAGCCCATTAGAGAAAAACTAAAGCAAAGACAAAAATGCGGTCGGAAGGGCTTCACACAACTATTAAGTTTCTGTTTATTTCTCTAATTTAAATTTAAATTTTAAATTTTATTACAATAAAAAAATTTTAAAACAGTCACATTTAATTTTTTTACTATAATAAAAAATTCTTATATAAAATTATATTTTAATTTAAATTAAAAACTCAAATTAACGAACTAAATGAGTCTTAAATATTTTTATCAGAAGTGGCCCCACAGATTGTGACTGATGCCCATCCACTGGGTCACCGAATGGGTTTAGGAAGCAAATGTACAAGAAAAGCATAAAGATGTAAAAGTATTTAATATATTACTATATTCTCTAAATAATATATATTATCGAGTTCTCTCTGCAAAAAAAAAAAAAAAAAAAAAAAAAAAAAAAAAAAAAAAAGAATCATAAAAAGGGTTAATAAACTTGCATGAGGGGATGTGGAGCATCTTTAATTTCTTTATGAGTCTATTCCCTCCCCACCCTTCCCTACAACTTCCTCAACAGAAACAAATCTTGATATTGAAGCCTAGTATTGGGTGCTTGTGGTCCAACTCTACCAGTAGCTCTGTCAGATAGTTCAAAAAAAAAAAAAAACCTGTATGGCAATATTTTGCCCTTCAGTTTTTTCCTCTCTATTTATTTTATATCGCCCTTCAGTTTTTTCCTCTCTATTTATTTTATCTCTTTAAGCTATAAACTTTGGATCTAGCTGCTGCTGCAGTGTGAATTCTTGGTCAATTTGTGTCTTCCTCCGAGTCTTGGATGTCACGGCGGAGCCGAGCATGAAGCCTATTGTGAGCAGCACCAAGATAGCGGATCCAAAAAATACGCCGTCTTTGACGACGTAGCAATCGCCATTCAACCATCCTTTCCCATATGGCTGCCTAATACTCATGCTTGTGGCACTCCCCAACAATATCACTGCAATTCCAAAGCTGATCCTGCTTGCCTCCCAATTTAATACCATGTTTGGTTAGCTCTTCTTTTAATAAAATGAATATATGACCCCCATGTTAGGAAATACTAAATAATAGCACCAAAGGAAGGCTAAGTTGGGGTGGATTACTCACACAAAAGAAATGTCAATTAATTGTTGGAAGTCACTAACCTAATGATGTTGTGGACAAAGAAAAGAATTAGTGGATTGGGTGTACCGTGTCATTATGTCGACTGTATAATTTTCTTCCGTGAACTTTTTAATCGGCATAGAATAGATAGGTAAATGATAAGGAAATATAAAGTGTTGTAAGTTGTAGAAGTGTCCTTACCAAGAGATAAGTAGAAGAAGAGTCGAAATCATTGGTGTTTTGGCCTTGCAACTGCTTGTCATCTCCCTTGTACAGCAGTTTCTGCAGACCAGCATATTGGCGATGATTTGCGCGATGCAAAGACAAACCAAAGCCCCAATTCCGAAGCCAAATGAATGACTTCCGGGCATATAGCAAAATCTCCCATCCAACCTGAGGTCGTTAATCTACATGCAATAGGGAAAACAAAAGAAAGAAGAATAATTCAAATGGTTCTGAACACACAAAAAATAAAATGGTGATGCCTTGATGGGGCTTGAAACACTACCTTGGCTCTCTTGAATTCCGCGGCTATGCATGATGTGACGGACAAGGCACCGAGGAAGATGGTGACGATAACAGAGAGGATCGGTAAGAGCCCATGTTGGTGTTTTCTTTCCATGTGGTTTCTTGGGAGAAAAAGCTTGAGAGGAGAGAAGAAAGAGTTGTTGAAGCTTATAAGTCAAGGGGTACAAAGATACATTGATGGCTTTTTTGGAGTTAGAAGCCTTTTGGGGTCCGTTCCTCTTGGCTTCTTCTTCTTCTTCTCCTCGTTCCTCCTTTGGGACTTTCTTCTTGCGCCTTTGTGTTGGATGAGACTTTTCTATGAAGACATCTTGCATTGCTCGCTTTAAATGAGAGATACCATTCCTAGCCTTATTTAGGCGACTTTGGTTTGGAATATTTGTGAAGCTTTACAAATCAAACACTTGCTTTGGGGTGGAGCTAGTCAACTGATTCACTGTTGGGTTGTCAAGATGGATATATATATATATATAGTTTATAGAAAAACCAAAATAATTAATAAACAAAAAAATAAATAAATGTTATGGCTGTTTTATATGTTTCTGCTGCAGAAAGAGCTGTTCTCTTAAGTAATTAAACACCAAACAAATTCTTAATGCTATGTTTGGTAGAGGTAAAAAATGGGGGGAAAGAAAAGAGGAGGAATTTTTGAAGATAAAATAGAATTTTAAGTTGTTTACTTAAATTTCTCTGTTTTATGATTATCCCTTCTACACAACAGTGGGGCCATTGACTTTGAAAGGGCCCCTTCTCAATACAATTTTGGAGGCCTTAAGTCCTAACCTCATTTCTAGACGTCAAAGAAAATCCAAAAAGAAAACCCTTGATTGAAGGCACTAATTTGGTTTTCTCTTTAACATTATGGATTCTTTAGGTACAGAATGATAAACGAGAAGGGTTTGATAACTAACACGAAAGATAAACATCTTAATAAATTTTTTGATGAGTGACATCTTAATCAAAGTTTTATTTTTAACCATACACCTTAGAAAATAAATAATTTGTGAATACCATTAAAAAAACAAAACAAAACAAAACAAAAAGAAAAAGAGTTAAATGACCCATTTATAGTCCCTTTTTTAATTTTTAAACTGATGGTCCATCTTTGTAAAAATTGGGTCAGCCGACATTTTTATAAACTTAACAATCTGAAAAGACGATATAATCCTTTAATTAATCAGTAACAAAACCACATCAATTAGTTCAGTTACAAACTGAGATCAATCGGTAATAGATCATGATCAATCAATGATAGAGTACATACTGAAAAAAAAAAAAGAAATAAGAAAAGGTATGTCGCTGGAGATATTCACCTACACATGGCAGAGATCCCCGTGATGGAGACACAAATCATCATAGCGATCTGTATGGAGACGTCGACCTCCTCCCTTGGCAGACGCTGGCACAACTCTCTAATTTTTATTGCCACGGACCATCTCTCTATATTCTAAAAACTTTGGATAAGTAAATATTGATTGGGTATAAAAATAGGCCATTTACCCATTTTTCCCGCCAAAAAAACTCAGTGGTAAGATTAACTTTTGGAGAAAAGAAAAAAGTCGTGAATGCCATTGCAATGTGGCATTTTTAGTTTTGGCCCCTTTGGGCTAAGCTAGAGACTCAACCCTCTACTTTTTAAAATGGAAAGAAGAGATAAACATTTTTTAAAATACATGAGTCTTAAATTTTTACTCTTTATACTTAATTAATACTTTTTAATCAAAGAATTATATTGGTTAAAAGAGTATTAATTAAGAATAAATGTTAAAATATTTAGAACAATGCATTTATAAAGTGAGTTCACTAATTTTTTTCTCTATTTTTGGAATATATTTAAACAATTTTGCCGACTGCAACCACTCATATAAATATTGTTTGTTTCTAGAGAAATCCTATTTCAGACTCGTTTACAAATGTTATTCTAATCTCTTGACAAGTGTCCTCCTAACTTTTTTAAACAAATTTGCCTAATAACAAGTCATTTTTTTCATGTTTAAAAAGGGTGTCATCATCCATACTAAACTTCCCCACTAGTCATGCTTTAGGGCCGTTTAGATTAGCTTAAAAAAGCTACTTTTAATTTATTTAATTTAAAAGTCACTTTTAAATCAATCTTAAAATGTTATTAGTTTTTTTAAGTACTTTTAGAACAAGTTATCTCCTTAACGCTTATGAAAAGCTTTTTTATTTACATTTTTAACCTTTTATTTGTGAACAATAAATTAAATATCTCATTCATATCTTTTATTACATTACTTTTTATAACAATAATTGTTTTTGACTTTTTTACTCAAATAGGTTCAAAAGCTCTTCTTAGATATAAAAATACTTTTTTCATGCACTATTCAAAATACTAATAAAAAAACCCCAACTTATATTTATTTTCTTCTACTATTTAAAAGTACAAACACAAACTACCCTAAACAAGCCCTTAGCATCTGCACTTTTTTTTCTTTCTTTGGCTGAAACTTAGCACCTGCGTCCTGCACTTGTTGTTTATCCCTCTTTGGCTCCAAATTATGTCAACTTCATAGGCAACCACGAACGAGAGGAAAAAAAAAATCCAACAAATTCGATAATAGAGCGTGGTAAAGACAGAATGGCACAAAAGAAATTGTAATACTCTAGCAACAAGCCAAAAGGAAAAGTAATTGTAACACCAAATAGCAACAAGCCAAGAAAGGATAAGAAAAATAATAATAATGAAAAGAAGACAATATTACATAAAAAAAAAAAGTCATCAAAAAAATAATGGAAAAGAAAAATGTAGTGAGCCAGTGGTAAACACTAGCCTTGTTTAGTTCACCATTAGTATTGTGTGATTTAATTTGAATTGTGGTGATTTGAATTGCAATTCAAATCAATGTTTGGATACGCAAATAAATTGTAATTTAAATTGGAAATAAAATATGAAATGTGTTTGGATAAAGTGTTGAAACTTGTTATTAGAGTTTTGTAACAAATCTTATTAAACCTCATTGTAAAGATATTAAAGAATATCCAATGTGAATGGTGATTTGTTACTCTTTTCAATATGAACACATTACCAAAAAATATTCATATCAATAAGAATTAAAATAAAAAAGTTATGATATTTTTAAAATCTGAATTGTTTTCACTATAGAAAACAATTCGGATGGTTAGAATTTCAAGGAATATAATCTATAACTTGTATATAAAGAAAAAAAGGGGAGAATACATAATCTATACTCTATCTATTAATCTGCATTGCCTAGTCTGTATGAAGCAAAAGTAAAAACTTTTGCATTACACGTGTTTTATAGAGTGAGAGAGTTAGAGAGAGAGTGAGAAGGTTTTTGGAGAGCAGAAGTTGGCCGGAGCTCCGGCACCACCTCCGAGCGCGTCACCGGGCTCCTGGCCATGAAATTTGGTCCTACGACTTGTCTCGTTGTGGGCTTCTTGTTGGTGGTAATAGTGTACGGTGTGGTAGCTCTGTTTGGGCAGATTTGAACCAGCCAGAAGCTTGGAAGCCGATTGGACGGTCTCCTTTCTCAGGGGAGTTTTCTGGTTGGTGGCTGAGATCTCTTCGCTGGCTATCTTCTTTTATGGTCCTTTAACCGGACGCCCTTCACTGAAGGCTTCTACCGGCGGTGGTCGGAGGTTTTTTTTTCTTTTTGTAACTTTTGTGTTTATAATAAGATTGGTGGTTTCTCCACCCGACTCTTGTCTGGTTTGTTGTTTTTTGTTATATTTTGGTGTTCAATTTAATGCTGATAGGGTGGTCTTGGTCCAGCTATAATTTTTCTATTCCGTGTAAATGTCCCCCTTCTGTGGGTTTTGATGATCTGCCCCTCAAGCGCTCAACAACTTATGTTGAAGAGAGAGATTTTCCCCAATCGAGCTTTCAGTTCTCTTGTTCTTAGTATGCCGAGATGCTTTTCTGGTTTCGAGCTTCAGCCGTGCGTCTTTCCCTCTCATAAGTTAGCATTGTATCAAGACGACTATTTATCAATATTTTAATAAAATGCAATTTTCCTTTCAAAAAAATACTTTATCTATTAATATATAATATATATTACCTAATCTATCTATAATAATCTATAACTTATATAAAACGGGATAATGAGTTTATATTTATTTTGAATTTTTTATTACCTTCTTTAGGGTGGTTGTTTATTGCTTTCAAATGAACTACTTGTTTCTTTCCTCTAAAAAATTGTATATTTTAAAATTTTCTCAAATTTTTTCTTTACAATATATATCTATTGCTATAAATATATATTATATATCTATATACACACATAAATATGGTCCTTATGAATACCTTTTTAAGTAATCATTGAATACTTTTTTGACTAAATGTGTCTAACGTTTTCTTTAATATTTTTTTAGGGTGTTTTTTTTTTAGTAGACAATAGTAACATTTTTTTCCTTTCGTTTTGGGATAAAACTATTTTAATATTCTGTGTTATAGTAAAACATACTCTTGTTTAGACTTTTTTTTATCCCTTATTTTTTCCTTCTTTCTTTCAATACAGGGTATACAAATGATTTATCCCTTCTTTTTTCTTCTTTTCTTTCTTCTTTCTTCATTTCTTTCTTTTTTCTTCCTTTTTTTCTTTCTTTTCTTTTTGCGTGTCTTTGGACCAAAAACATTGAAGGATGAACAAATGCTTCATTGCTCGGTCCTTTTTGGTCGTTTTATTTTTTATTTCTTTGGCGTTTTGTTTCTTTTTTTTGTTTCTTTTTAGAAATCTTATTCTTCAGTTTTTGTGCTTCCAAATTCCAATCAATTATTGGCTTGAAGCCTAAATCGAAGTGGGAAATTGAAGGGATAAATAATAAAGGAAAGTTGCAATAAATAGTAGATTTTTAAAATTAGATTAAGTAAATAGCATATTTTAAAATTATTTGATGGAAAAAAGACTTTATCTTGTAAATGTATTATTTACAACTAGTAAAAAATAATTTACATTGTAAAAAATATTTATTTACGTAAAAAAATCTTTTTAGCAGTCGTAAAAATAAAATTTACGTAAAAAAAACCTTTTTACTAGTTGTTAATGAAATATTTACATAGTAAATTATTATTTACTGTAAATAGTTTTGAAATATATTATTTACTTAATTTAGTTTTATAAATATGCTATTTATTATATTATCCCGTAATTAAATTTGAAAAAGTATGTAGTTGTTGACAACAACTTTTATTGCAATTTAATTTTGCTCGTATATTGACATAACTTTTGAGATCTTTCTATTATTTTAAATATTTCTAAAATATCAAGTATACTCGTTGAACTGCTCCAGGAGCTCATAACTTCAATGATATAT